GATTACAATATTAGGTTGTAGATTGATATTAATGCTTGGAGTGGTAGTTGCTTTTCTGTTATCGTTGATCAGCTGTTTGAAACAGAATTTTCGTGAATCACTTTTGTTATAAATGTGCGTAGGGTTAAGGCATCTGGCATTGGTCGTTGAATAACCTGTATTTCTTAACCGTAATGGTAAGGATATTTTCTTATCACAGAATATAATATAGATAATGATAATTATAATAATACAATTATCTTTATCTGACATATTTTGTTTTCGGGTGAAAGTTCTTGTTATTTGGCTAGAGTGTATTTACTATTTAGTACTTTCTATTTAGCATTAAAATTTGTTATCATCGATCGCACGTTGCACAAACCTTATTTAAAACTATAGAAGATTTATGATTAAAAAACACAAATTGTAGTTGCAGAACTGAGGTCAGACGTTTGAATCTATCGTTTGTTATTTCGCGTTCACTTGTACACGTGGCTTAATCTGTTACAAATTACAATTAACATGTCGTCATTTACCGTTAAGAAAAATTTAATTTTACGAAATCTTCAAGAGGTTCTTGGCGAAGATAAACTAGATGTCATATTAAAAGAAAGAGATTTAAAAATTTATTGGGGTACAGCTACAACTGGACGGCCACACATTGCATATTTTGTCCCAATATCCAAAATAGCGGACTACTTAAAAGCTGGCTGTGAGGCATGTATAAGAAATATATAACAATTATAGTAATGTAGAACGGATTTTTTAATTTTTTTATTATGACACAGGCAACAGCCAAGATTTTTTTTTTAATGTAATTAAAAATAATGATTATGATAACAATAATAATAACTTGGTAGGTACTAAATAGATCATGAACGCTTAAAATCACTAAAATTCATTAACACTTGTAATAAGCTAAATAAGGACCTGGAGAAAATATGTTCAAAAGAATACATTCAAAGGTAGTGACAAGATACTTAATCTGTAGCCAGGTTAAAGGTTAAAACTTTCACTTATTCATTAAGTGGATCAATTTAACTTGGTCTAAATGCTCTACATTGAAAAAAGTCTTTACTTCATTAAAAACATAGTATAACTCTATAGTTATTACTACATTAATTGTTAAAAGAATTATTACAATAAATTTTTAAAAATATATATTTCACATCCTATTACATTTCAATGAACTATCAGTTAAAATAATTTGTAAATAAGCAATAAATGTTAAGGTTTGTTAAGGTGGGTGGTTTATTTTTGGATAATTAACAATATTTTATCATACTATGACTCATTAAAGTATAAAATATTTTTTTTAAATATTTAACAACTTTAATGAGTAATTTTTTAATAAATTAACTAATCCTACCAAGTGTTGCCTTAAACAAATTAAATTTCTGTGGATTTACCCCATCTTAAAACATAAGTCTAAAATTATACTCAATTATAATAACTATTTTATTTTTTATAACCAAAAGAAGCCATTTACAAACAAGACCAAATTCATTATTCTCGTTTCCCTCTTTAAAATTGGCTTCATGAAGTAAACCCTCGCGTATAGGATTATCTATGTATTAAATTTTAGAACTATGAGTAGGATACATTATGGTTCATTTATACAGACACAAATATTGCTTTGATTATCATTAATAATTATTAATTTAATAAACAATTTAAAATATTTATTAATAACTCAAAAAGAAATAAAATGTCTAGAAATTACTTACATGAATATTCACTTAAAATTAAAAATTTTTATAGTTAGATATTTATTATTAAATTAGGTGCAAAAGAAAATTTATTTTTTCAAAACTTAGTTATATGTAAAAATTTTCATTTTTCTTATAAAATACTGAGTTTTTTTTACTTTTGACCACTAGAATACCAACTATAGATTCAATTTGCTTGAGTAACCACCCTTAAAATAGCTATTGAAATAACATTTTTTAAATTATCAAACTATAATTTGACATCACCCATAAATTAAAAATAAATAGATATATATATGACCTTTTGATATTAGTAATATATTGATATATTATATGATACTTAATAGATAAGATGGGGTTGATTTTTATTATTTTTGAGAAAGCCATCACTGGATTATATAATATATAGTGTTTATTATAGTTCTAATAAATGTATCAAATTTTAAACTATCAATATAGGTAACAATATTATTTGCTGATTTACATGCATATTTGGATAATATGAAAGCTCCTTGGGAGCTACTAGAACTCAGAGTACAGTATTATGAACACTCAATTAAAGCTATGCTAACTTCCATTGGTGTACCTCTTGATAAATTAAAATTTGTTCGAGGAACAGAGTATCAACTTTCAAAGTAATTAGAATCATCATTTATGTAATTATATTTTACTGAAAACTTGTTTTTTTTTAGAGAGTATACAATGGATATGTATCGATTAAGTTCTTCAATTACTGAACATGATGCTAAGAAAGCTGGGGCTGAAGTTGTAAAACAAGTTGATAATCCACTATTATCTGGGTTACTATATCCTGGTTTGTTATAAAATTCTTTAGCTAAGCTAAGTATTCATGTTTGAATAAAAAAGAAATTTCAAATTATATATATACTGCGGTTCATCACTAATTTTTATACAATTTAAGTTTATCATAATATTCTATTTTTTATTAAAAAATATTTTAATTTTCTTTATTATTCATTCAATCAAAAAATTGATTTGAGTAGTTTTGAATTAATAATGTAAACTAATAATAATATCTATTTAATTTTAGAATATTATTTTGTATTTTTCTTACTCTTCCTTTAATTTTTAATTTATTGTTCTTTTAAGGATTACAAGCATTGGATGAAGAATATCTCAAAGTTGATGCTCAATTTGGTGGAGTAGATCAGCGTAAAATATTTACAATGTCTGAAAAATATCTTCCTCAGTTAGGTTATGCCAAAAGAATACATTTAATGAATCCAATGGGTTAGTTTTGTTAATCTATGTATAATTATTAATTTAATAATATGTAACTAAACCCAACTTGATTGCTTATATATCGTTTTACTTTTAGTTCCTGGGTTAGCTGGAGGTAAAATGTCTTCTTCTGAAGTGGATAGTAAAATTGATCTTTTAGATTCACCTGCTACTGTAAAGAAGAAATTAAAAAAAGCATTCTGTGAACCTGGGAATATTGTGGAAAATGGTTTATTAGCATTTGCTAAACATGTCATCTTTGGTTTATTTGAACCTAATGAAAGTATGATATTTTTTATATTTTTAATATTACATGTAGACAAAAATATAATTACTTTTACTTTAAGAATTTAAAATATCTAGAAATGAAGCCAACGGAGGAGATTTAAGTTTTAGTACCTATGAAGATCTTGAAATTTGTTTTTCTGAACAAAAGCTACATCCAGCTGATTTAAAAGCATCTATTGAATTTTATATCAATAGGTTATTAGATCCAATAAGACAAATATTTGATAAACCTGAACTACAGAAATTAGTTGCTAATGCATATCCAGCACCAGTAAAACAAAAAAAAACTGGTAAGTTACAATACCAAATCATATATTGTTTAAACAAAATTTGTTAAATATTTTATTTCACAAATTAAGTTAAATCAAGACTTTCTGATATATATAACTATATTAAATTGTTATTCTCATATATTTATGTTAATACAGTTTATGATTTTGGGTAATAAATCTAGTTTAAGTTTCAGTATTTTTGATTCTGAGCAGAGTAATGTTTATATTAGTTTTACAACAATGTAATTTACAAATATATAAAGACAAAGACTAATTCCATTTAGAATTTTTTTTTGTATGCTATTATTTATCACTAAATTAAATTTTTACACATCCATTATCTATTGCAGTAAGTATACTTAACCACAATTATACAGCTCAGTAATTTTCAAATTTTTTTTATTAATTACCAAGAGTAATTTAAAATTTTCTTTAAAATAGACATATTTACTGATTTCAGTTAATTAGTATTATGAATTGTTAAAATATATTTCTTTTTGTATTTACTTATAATTAATATCTCTAATGTATATATTTTTTTAATTATAATGCAATAGAAAAAAATAACACCAATCAACAAGAAGAAATTTCTCCAAATCGTTTGGATATTCGTGTTGGTAAAATTATTGAAGTATCCAAACATCCTGAAGCGGATGCATTGTATGTTGAAAAAATTGATCTTGGTATGTATATTAGTATAAACTTAAAACTAAAATTGTTTAAAATATATAAATATTACTAATTAGATTCATAATTTTATATCTTTGTTAATACAGCAATTACTGTATATTAATCTTGAGAAGATAATATAAATAACATGTGATATTTTTAGTTTAATAAAATAATTTTTCACTATTTACTAACATTAACTTTATTAAATTACTTCAATACTTTATTTTGTATAGTTATAATTATTTTTTACAGGTGAAGTCCAGCCTAGAACAATAGTTAGTGGTCTTGTAAATTATGTCCCAATTAATGAAATGCAAGATAGATTAGTAGTTGTATTATGTAATTTAAAACCTGCCAAAATGAGAGGTATTGAATCGAGTGGAATGGTTCTCTGTGCATCAATGTATGATTAATATTTATTTATAATTTCTATTTTTAAAATAATTTTTATTATTAATATTATTTAATAGTGAAAACAATGGCATTAAGTCTGTTGAGCCTTTAGAACCAGCTGAAGGAAGTAAACCGGGTGATAAAGTTTTTGTTGAGAGTTATGAACAAGGCGAACCAGACAAAATATTGAATCCAAAAAAGAAAATTTGGGAACAGCTTCAGGTAAAATATTATTCTTAAATTAATTTTTTTTTATTTATAAAATCTAATATTTACTTTTAGGTTGACTTTAAAGTTTCAAATTCATGCGAGGCTCAATGGAAATCCAACAACTTGATGACAAATGCTGGAAAAATTCTAAGTAAATCATTAAAAAATGTTAATATTGCTTAAAATTTTCAAAATATAATAATAAAAATAATTAACAAAATTTATGTTTCATGTATATTCATTTATATATATATATATTTACATTTAAAAAATTTTTTTAAAGTGTACAAAATAATTATCAACTTGAATGAGTCACTACACTCATAAAGTTTGATACATTTGAGCTTTCTTCTTCATCAGAAATGTCACTTAAAACTCTTTCATTATCTACAAAAGTGGAACTGAAAAGTTTTTTTGAATGATAAGCTTGTGTTTTAATTGTTTCAAATAATTGATGAAGTTCTGTTTTAGCTAATTTTATGGCTGATGCTTTTCTGTTATATTCAGTATACTGTGTATCGAGATCATTGTTGATATAATTTTTATTATCTTCACCGTGCATGGAAAAATCCTTTTTTAAATTGTCTTCTGATTTCAAAGATGTCATTGATACAGTTTCAATATTGGTATTATCTAATCCAGTTAATACAATTTGCTTCATTTGTCTGGAAAAATAGTATAAGATATAAATATTTGCAAATAACTTTATTTTAATATTGTTTTAAAATCTGTGTAAGTAAATGATAATTCAAATAAGCTACTAAAAATTTTACATAAAATCGTAGTTTATTTTGATTTGGTAATATAAAAGTTTGTGATTTATTAATTATTTTATATTTATATTAAAATAATTTAGTCATGTAAATAGGTACTGTAGAATTCATAATAAAAGGGAGGTAAAAATTCAAAAGACAATTTTCAAATTTAATAAATAAGGTAAGATATGCTTTCATAAACAAAATATAATGAAACAATTGAAAAATCAAGAAATTTAATTATATGCAGTCATATAATATCATTTATTTACAAATTGGAAACAGAACCCTGTGGTATGGTTGTTTTATTCTGTATATTTAAGTATATTAATTTTTCAATAACGAACATATTTTTAATTTAAAATTATTTAGGATTTATGCAATAATATGATTTACACTAAAACTGTTCAACCAAAAATCATTACTTTATATCTGATATGAGCTTGGAGACTTCATTATTTTTAAAAGCATTGGCAATAGCTAATTTATCCAAGTCTGATTTTGTGATTTTATTGAATTCATTATTTTCTTTTCTCACTGTTTTGTAAGTATTATGTTGTTCAATTGAAATGTTTCCATTCACATTTTCCTTTACCTAAATAAAAATATTACGTATAAGCTAATGTAACTAAAAAAAATTAAAATTCACACAAACTTCATTTTGAATTGGTAAATTATTTAATCTTTTATTTAAATCTGCAATGATGATATCTTGATTTCTAATTAATTTGTCTGAAGCTATAAGTTTGGACTTAAGTGCTGTGATTGTATCTAAATACTCCCGTTCACGATTATTCAATATTTCTAAAGAATCGCATGATTCTTTAAATTTCCTATTTAAATATAATAATTAAATAAAAAAAAAATTTAAAAACTAAATTTATTTACTCAAGTAATCTATCTCTTTCAGATGTCACACATTGTAGTTTTTCTTTAGATTTAGTGTTATCTTTTGTTAGCAGACTATAATTATTTTCAAGTTCTGATATTTTCCCTAGCAGTGCAGACAAATATTTCTAAAATAAATATAAGTTGTAGTAAAAATAAAATACTATTTATTAATGTTTGGTTATTATAAAATAATAAATAAATATTAACTTACATTTTCTTGAGAACTGTTAACATAACTTAATTGTTTACAATAATCATCATCTCTTGTCGGAATCATAGAATTATAATTAATAACTGGATTATTGTTTAATTTAGAATTAGGCAAATTTTCAGCATATTCATCAACAATTCTTCCCACAACCACTTGCATTTCATTAACAATTTTTGCAATGTCTCCATCTAATAAAAAAATGAATTAACAATATAATATTCATATTAATAAAAATAGATTAAAAAATAAAAATAAATGTTTGCTAACTTTGAACACTCGGGAATTCCATAATTTCTTTTAGTAAAAATTGCAATGTTCTGATGGGATTGAATACAGAAAGTGAAGTAAAATTTTTGCATTTTCTATCAATAGGTGAATTATTACATTGTACACTCTTGGTCATTGCTAGAAATAAAAACTAATTAAATATTATTATTACAAACATTTAAAATAATAATGCTTATACTTTTAATATTCATCTTGGGAGTAATGGAAAGGTTTTTAGCTTTATTTTTAGTAGTTATTACTGTATTAGTACCAACTGATTTTTTATTTAATAGGTTACCCCAGGTGTTATGTTTTTCTGGTAAAGACGTTTTATATTTTGGTTTCGATAAGGAAATCATAGCATTTTTCTGTCGACATGACTTTGATTCCATAATTAATGTTTTGTTGACCCTGAAAAAAAAACATTTTATTAATCTAGAATAATTACTAAAGCATTTTTCATTGTTTATTTTCTTTAAAACAAAAAAATGCTAGAAGTGTTATGGTAAAATATATGTTATTTTTTAAGGAATTCATTTATATTGAAATATAAGCTTAGCTTAATTTTGTTATATTAACTGAGCCACTGGTGAATATTATGTCTTATCAACACAAACATACAATTTTGGCTCTATAATTCCAGTTTTGTATTGTTAGCTTAAATATTAGAGTGAATTATTTTACTTTAAAAAGGAAAAACATATATTATTTATGTTATCTTATTTTTACAGTGTTTAAAATTTTAAACAAGTTATGAGCATTACTAAATTATAATAAATTACATACATATAGTTTTATTTCTTTTAACAAATTTATTATAGTAGCACAAGTAATACTTAAAACTTATAGGTAACTATATAATACTTATTAAAAAAAAAAACAATTTAGATAAGACACTTACTTTTAAACACAGTAAAAATGATAATAACTACAAATTAAGAATTTTAAGAATTTTAGGAAACTTATTTTATTTTTTGATTAATTTACTTGAAAGTTAGTGTTGATTTAATTATTATTAATGTCTGTACTCTACACAATTTTTATACCTGTAGAGTGTGTATATAAAAAAAAACCATTTAAAAAAACCGTCGTCCATTATCAAGCTTTATCGTTGTGTTGGAATAAAATATAAATGCAGATATCTGTGTATAAATGTCTCATGGAAAAAAATAACATTTAGATAGTAGGAATATAGATAACGAGACAGCGATACATTTTCTGTAGAAAAACAGTTTCTGTAGTCTATATCAGGGGTTGCCAACATGAATAAGTTCGTGGGCCACATAGATAAATACAATAAAATTATACCAAGAGTCAAAATATCACAGATTTCTATACTATAACTAGTAACTTCTATATAGAAATCTGTGCAAAATATTTATAGATATTTCATAAAATTTGATAATTTTTTATGAACTAATACCATTGATTATAGAATACTTATACCTAAAAAATTAAAATTCATAATAATAATAATAATAATAATAAGAAAAATTTGATTGTATAAAATATAAATAAAATGCGAGTCGCATCAGACAATGACGACTATTCAATGGATGCGAGCCACAAGTTGGTCACCTACGGTCTATAGCAATGGTTCCCAACCTTATTTATTCTACGTCCCCTTTGTAGATTTTCAAAAATCCCCCCCCCCCCCCCCCCCCGATAAATTGAAAAAATTATAATTTTTTTGTTTATTTTACATTTTACAAATAAGCTATATAATAATCGGAAAGACTACTTTTTTATTAATGATAGTAGTAATTATAAAATATAAATAATTGCAAATAATATAGTACCTTTTATAGTGGAATTTTAAATATAATAAAATTTGATAAATAAAAATTTTACTTTGTGATGAGTGATGACTGATTGCGCCACCTCAGCGATGTGTATACGCCTCCCAGGTTGGGGATCACTGGTCTATAGAATCATATAAATTAAGAAACCGTTTCACCCCATGAGCTTATAATAGAAGTCTATGTTAAGTCTATTATAAGTATAAGCGTAGGGTGGTCAAATCTTTTGAGGAGTAGTAGCTATCCTAGGAGTAGACATGTACTGACTCGTGGAAGGCTTCGTCTGCATTTTGGGGGTCTAACTACTCCTATGATTATAAGTCCGTGGTTTCACCCGTATATGTTATCTTAGTCTTAGAAACGTAGGTATTTACAACAAAATAAAAACTAAAAATCGTTTCACGCGGACAAGAATTACTACATGACTAAATGAATTTATGAACTAATAGAGCAGTAGTCCAAATTAAATAATCCAATTTTCACACAAAAAGAAGGAAAACATTGGCTGTACCACTTTGTTTTTAATTTTTTGATATTACTAGTAAAAAAAAATTCTTATCGTTTCAAATTCTATTATTTTTGTGTTTTTCAAACTTGAATAACTTTTTTGTAATTTATTAAAAAGGACAATATTCTGTTTTACTATTTGATTTAATTAATTTTATCTGGGGATTTTATTTCCAAGATTCTTTTACACATAATTAATAATTATTGATACGTATATGCCTAATTAAAAGTATAAACTTTATATCACTTAATTAAATAAATAAATAGTACGAGGTTTGAAGCTTTTATAGAGTACATATTTATAAAAAAAATAATGTAGTTTAATACAAACGTAGTTCAATTTTATTAAAAATATATTGACCATAATTGCATTTTTAAGTTACCTATTTAAATTATTGTGCACTTATAAATTAATTAGATTTTTTTTAAACTGGGCAAGTGAATACTAGGTAGGAACTACTGTACAGTAGATTTTGAGGAATCACTTTAATAGTTGTGTTAAATTTGAATTCAATGATACAGCCATATAGTCATAAAGATATTGGTATTATTGTAAATGAAAAACGATTTTGAGCGAAAAACGGTCCGTAATCCGTCAGCCTATTTCACAAGTATCTATCTACGAGGCTGGGTATATTTTATATGTTGTTTATTATTGCTATAATTGCTATTATAAAGTATTATCTATTTTACCATTAGTATTATGGTAAGTTGATTTAATTTTTGCTAAAGACATTGCATTTATTATATTATTAATATTTAATTATTATAATAGCATACATTAATAAAATATTATATTATTGTTGTTAACTTTTGAGTTAATACCACCTTGCTATAAAACAATGTGAATAAGTTCGTAGTAGGTATGTAAATAGGAAATAGCTTAAAATTAATCTATTGTTGTGAACGAGAAGGTTAAGTCCGTTCTTGTTCAAAAATGTTCTTTCTAAAACTAGGCATTTTGAGTTTTAGTAGCCTTTGGGCCTTAGGGACGTAAACAAACACACAACAAAATATTTTAAATGATTTATATTTATTTGTGAGCCGTCATAGTCCAACTATCTATGTTTTAAATATTGAATTAAAAAAGAACTGACAAACTATGTTTATTCTGAAATTAGTTACTAAGACTGGCGCTTGTCTATCGGACGGTGCTTCGTGCTCATCGTCCAAGTATAAATGCTTTAACGTTTAACGCTTATACTAAGCATTTATCCCCACATATCTTATAGGTACCTACATCAAGACCCAAAAGACTAATGTAATATAATAATATGCTGATTCAATATACTATAATATTATTGAAGTATTCATTTTTTTTTTTTTTATGATTTATTATTATTTATTATTAAAATTTTTCAGCACATTAGGTGTTACCAAAAGTACAGTAAATTATTATGGTATTCATAAGATCATAAATATTTTGAAAATGTCATTGCGTATAGAGTAAAATTTGTAGTATACATAACAACTATAAAAGAGTATTTTTATTATAATATATTTTTCCTAAATTTTATAAAACTAGTGTATAATATTTTATTAAGTACCTACCTATACAAGGTAGGTACGTTTGCGATAGTCGATAAGTAATTATTGAAATTAATTTCCCATATCATAGTAAAAACGATTTGAAACCAGTTCATATTTATACTACCTATATGATATATTGACGATTGACCTCCGTTACTACTCAAGTTCCAAGTCCAATTCAAATGTGTAATAGTAGGAAGTTCTTCAATATTTACGTTCATCTAATATTGATTAATGGTTATTTCTTATTAACTATGATTCATATAATATTTTTTGTATATGAATATTAGTTATCGAACGTCTCATTGTAAGTTATACTAAATAATAATACTACACTTCTTTTTATATATTCAAAATACAATAATGGTTTTAACAGTTTCATTAGTACACATATTCCAGCAACCATTTCAAACAATAAAGACATTCTACAATCAAATCAGACAAAAAGACGATGTTGTTAAAATTTCAGAACTAATTGATGCACACATCGGTAATAAGTAAGGCGGAGAAATTGTAAGAGTTGTATGTTCTTTTTATAGCAAATCAAAATAAATTTATTCTACAGGAATTAAAATACCTACCTAGCTTTGAACAATTATTATTTTTTGTTTATTTTTATATGCTATTCTAATGATATTCTAATAAAAAAATCATATTTTAGTATTTTGAGAATATTTTTACATATTTTTATAGGTATCGTCTGATACCTGCAGGTGATCAGTCGTTAAAGGTAATTGTTTTTTAAATCCATAATAAATACGTACCTTTATAAAAAAGTTATAATATTAATTATAACATAGGTACGTATAAATATTATGACGAATAAATGTTTATTCAATATTATTCACCATGAGTCATGAGTAATTAGTAACTGCATTACACAATTGGCTATTAAAGTCTTATTTTTGTTTTTATTTTACACGATTATCGGGTATACACAATGTGATTAGCCAAGCAAATTTCTTCAATTTTTCTTTTATAATCTTTCTTTAAGTACTAATTTTTGAAATTTTTAAAATGTTACGTGGAATTTAGGAAATAAGCAGTAGGTTGAAAGCCAAAAGCCAACTCATTTATCGTCAAAAGTTACTTATATATGTATTTTTTTTTTTAATTCTGTTAGGTCTATAATTTTATAATAATTAATACTGTGTAACAATCAGTGGCGTATTTTCAATTGTTTTGTGGGGGGGGGGGGGTCTTAATATTAAATATAAGTTTATAACATTATAATAAAATACATGCGAGTTATGATTTAATAATGATATTATTTATATTATATTATATTTCACTATTATTATGAAAATAAATGTCAATTAGTAGTTAAACCCAAGTTATTTTTAAAAATATTGTAATACAAACATTAAAAACATGTAATATAAATTAATATTATTTTTTTCTGGGGGGGGTCGTGACCCCGGGGGCCCCCCCCCCCCCGTAAATATGCCACTGGTTACAATCTATATGTATTAAGATTTTTTTTGGAACTCAAAAGTTATTTCTTATAACTAAGAACACTATGGTTATGACTTATGAAGATAATAATAATTGTAGAATATAAATAACTGCCCTATACAAAACATAATAGACATGCATTTTACTTGCATGGTACTAAAACTTAAGATTTATGCTTTTAACTTTTTATTTTACTTAATTAACTGTCAAAGTGCCTTCACTAGAAGGTTTCTTTATTCTGTTATTCTAGCTATAAAAAATCTTACATCACTTACACTTATTTTTCTAAATGTAACAGATTTTAGACTATGGAAATAAACATTTTAAGTTAAAAAAAAAAAACTTTTTATTTAAAAAAATATTTGTAGTATTTGAAATAACGATAAGGTGTATTTTACTAGGTACTTTATATTATAAAGTATCATCCGTATTCAAATAACCTAAGTGCAAGATTTAAACAGAAATTAACTCAAATTATTCAAATATATTATATACTTTTTATTTAAAAAATATAATGCTATTTTTAATTAAAAGTTAAGTGGTATTTGTAGGAAATTTTCTTAGATGTAAATAAAGTAATGTATACATAATAATTTTTGTCTCAAATATTTCAGTATTTGATTTTGAATTTTTATTTAGGTTTATTTTTAACAAGCGGGTTCAAACCGGTATGAGTATTGGGTAATAAGTACTAACGTACTGTAATATGTTCTGTTTAAGAGTTCTTGAAAATTTTTTATTGTGCATAATGTTCATTGTTCTTCTTTTAGAAGATTTGCATTCACTCAAAAGGAAAGTGTTTTTCACCAACTACAGAAGGATAACTCTGAGTTTGATAACTTTTAGTTTTATTACCTATTATAAAGTTTAATCGTTTTTAATAAGGGATAACTTATTGTGCTGTTAGCTATCATTGAGTTATGTAATTATTGTTTAGTAGGTACTTATTACGTTAAAACTTTCAAACTATTAATTACAATAATTTCGTTACAACAAATCGATGTTTTTTTTTTATAACATTCCTGATGACGTTCACGTACTTTTAATTTTAGTGATACAGCAGTGGTAGTTCAGTACTATATATAGTACCTATATGCCATATGGCCATTTGGGTAGGTATTATATGTTATGAACTTATGAAGAAACTAGTAAAATTATTATGAAGCTCTGTACACTGAAAATTTTATAAAACATTTGTTAATAGGATATCTAGTAGATAAACATTAAATGAATCTTATGTCGTTATTTAAAATAATAATATTTCTAGTGAAATTCGATTTTAAAAATTTTGAATTTTTTTAAAGTAATTGTAGCCTTGTAGATACTAGATAATATTAAGTTTGAATCTCTAATCAAAAATCAAAATGATGGTCATTTGTACAAAAAAATGTCTTGTTTTTTATTTATAGCTTTATCTTTAAACATATGTATTACCTACCTGCATTTAATTGTTTGAAGAATTTACATCGTTTTTGGGTCATTCCTGAGTAGGTAATGTACATTTTTTTCTTGACAATTTTTACGACTTCTCTGCCTTAGTATAATAATATTTAGAACACTAGATTTATTACAAGAATTATACTTATTAAATTATTTATTCAAAACCTATCCCTTATAATTCTCTTTTATACAACAAGCATAAAAAGTTAAAGTTGACTTTTTTTAGATGAACATGGATTTGAATATACTAAGCATAGGCTGGTATGTCATAATATTATTCCTCAAGTATTAAGGCGTGATCAAATACTACATATTCCAGAAATACTCATTGAAGAGGAATGTTGGTATGATGAAAAAGGTCAAAAATTTTGGGCAAGAACGAGAAATTTAAGTTGGTCAGAAATTGCTACATTATCTAATATTATAACATTATCGATCACACCAATTCCAACATGGTAAATACTAAATTTATACAAATCCTATAAAGTATCAATTATAATTTATATTTCACATAATATTATGATTTACATTGGTGTCGGAAAAGGGGTTACTAAAATTAAAACTTACACTAGATCTTATATTTTGGATTTATTTTACATTTGGTGAATTATTTATGGGAAATAAAAATTTCCTTTAAATATTAGAATTAATTATATTATTGTTATTTTGTTTAATATGGCATTATGTGCGAAGCGCTTATTTTAATCATTGTGTAATTTCGATAGTTCCGATAGTATTTCAATAGAATATTGAGTAGATTTGTCACGGTTTGTTAAGTTTTCATATTTTTATTTTTTAGGTACCTATACATTTACTATAAGTATATATCAATACCTGAATTTTAACTAGTTTGTGCATTGGTGCCTAAAATATTTTTGGGTACCCTATTTATTTAGGCTCTTTGTTTAATGCTAGACGCCTATAAAGTAGATGGTACTTACATTTTTTAATTAATTTATTTCTAATTTCAAACTGGCGTTTTTTGTTCAATATATAGCTGGAAACTAAAATTAATGATTTTAAATGACTTAGTAGTTTTGACTATAAAGTATGGTTTTACATATAAATGTAAAATATATGTTAGATATAATTAATTTTAAAAACGGAATACTTTATACTTAATTTTTTATCTTTAACATATTTTAATCTAATAATAGGTAAAATTTTAGGGATTTAATTAAGAAATTTCAGGAAATTTTCATGTATGCCACCCTTACCTAACACAAGACAGTATCTATAATCAACTTTACTTATTACTTAAATAGGTGTATACATAAGTTATAGGTAAAATTGTTAAGAAAAAAATGTGTGTCTATACTCTAGTCATAATTTTGTCTTCCCTAAACATGAAATAGTTTCTTTGCCACTGATATCACTATAAAATAGATAATATTTAGTTGTCTCAGTAACTTATACAATTATTTAAATTAATTATTACCTAATACCTATTATTTATTATTTTTATTATATAACTTATTCATGTAACATGCATTATTTTTAAATCAGGACTAAATATGAAATTGATGGCATAACAGATTTTTTTGGAATACAACCTCACGAAGTTGGCTACGCAGTAGAATATTTTTTGAAAAAATATACAGAAAAAAAGTTGTTGGAACATATTAAAATAATTGACCAGGAATGTTTAAAAAATAATGATATTTAAGTAATATTTTATGTATTTGAATTTGTTTTATTTAAACAAAAAATAGTATAGCGTAGATAGTGTAGTAGATCTGTGTTAAATGCCTATGAGAATAACATAAAATATAGGTACTTATTAGGTTGTTTTTACTATGAATTAAATATTTCATCATTTTTAGTATAAATGAGTTACACTTAATTACATATAATTTAGTATATGCACAAACTTTTAACAAGAAGAACAAAAAATCTGTTTTATTTATATTTTTTAGTTTATTACACGTTATTGAAAGTGATTAATAAAATTTAATAAATCTTTAAAATTATATTCATTAACAATGTATTATTCCTTTAATCAAATTGATTTTAAATTCAAACATATGTATCAATTAAATTAAAAAGGGTATTGGTATATTTATATTTATGTTAATTAAAGCATTTTTATCAATAAAATTGAATTGCGTTTTTACTGTAGAGTACCTCTAACTAAAATTAAATGTTAAAAATTTAAAAAAATGGTAGATCAAACTTTGCCAATCCAACACTAAATATAGTGATACATAATTAAAATTACATAAAAGCACAAGAAAATTAGTCGTTAAATAGTATTCAAAAATTCTATAAGGAATAATACTGATTCTTTAATTTTTATAAAAACAAAAACTTTTTACTTCCAATTCTTTTTGAGTTTATACTTTTTATTTTAGTTGATTTATAAAAAAACTAATCATTTAATCATTGTTTATTTAATAATAAATTGCTATTTATTCACCTTTATGTTAAACAGGCAAATTATACAATACCTAATAGATAATTATTACCAATGTTATTACTAACCAAAATAATATACTAGAACATATTTATAAAGGAATAAACAATAGTAACGGTTACAATATACTAAATTAGAGTGACCATACCTCCTGTTTCAAACGGAATTATCCTTTTTTGATCACATTTAGACACTTTTTAATCTTGTTTTTAAAAGATGGCATTGTTTTAATCCCTTTATTTCCATATTATTTAATAATGTTTGTAAAAAAAAAAATATAAAACAATTTTAAAAAGAGCAACATATTATAAATATTATTTTATTATTTTAATAAATTGTAACTTAAATGTAATTGTAAAAAATAAAAATTATATTAATAAATAATTATTTGTCTCATTTTTTATTTTCATAAAAATGGTCACCCTATACTAAATGGAAAATTTTGTATACCAAACTTCATATTTCAATGTATCCATTTACACTTACAAATTTGAATTACATTCACAATTTTTGTTTTACTTATTAAATTAATTCTGGGAATGTAAATATTTTCATCATTCAAAACAATAAATTTAGGTTAGAGAATCTCTGAATTGAAAATAATAAACAAGGAAAATCAATACAAATATAATAGATCTTAGTTGAATTAGTTATCTTCTAATAAAATTAAAATTAAAGTGATTCAGATTTTAATATATTTAGTATTTAAAATACTATTGATAATAAATGATAATACTAAAATATTAATGTGTACTAAATAACTTAAAATGTATAATAAAACAATGTGATTTATTTTTCAATTTATTGGGTTATAGATACTTATAAATTATATTATAAAATATTTTTTTTAATAACACGATTTATTTTAAGCAACAAGAAATTCTTATAATATAAAAATAAAAATGTAGTTAAGATATTTTATATTTATTAAGTTTAAATTAAACTTTAGCTTGAGTTGCTGTTTTGTTTTCTACTAAATTTTTAATGCTACACAAGCGTTAATAAATTTTTCAAATATTTTTGGCGTCACTCTTGCTGTAATATTTACATTATGTTGAAATGGATCTTGAGTATACATTTTAAATTGACAAGAACCCAAAAATAATAACTTTTGGCATTCTTTATTTTCTTTGTAAAATTGTTTATATCTCCATAGTTCGTCTGGGAGTTGTTCTACATTTTCAAAATTTGCTTTAAGTAATGGGTAACCAGTAAATGGACTTACCACAAATTTATTAAAATCAAAATTTGAATAATATTTATAGAAAACATTTAATATGTCACTCTCACTTAAAGTTTCTTGTTTGTTAATAATATATTCTTGTGTGTTTTTGGAAAATGCACAATTCCATTGACCAACTAAAATTTCTGGAACAGATTTTTGTAAATCCCGGATAGCTGGCAATAATCCCAAAACTTGCATGACAAATAATCCTAGCCAGTAGAATGAGTAACTAGAGAACCCATTTGTATTAATAAGCCCAATATTTTTAGCCCATAACTTTAACTTCATTAAAACTGGTTTAATACGGCAGTCCATACTTAAAATGTGATTGAGAAGATGAGAATTATGAACTGCACTAATATTATTAAATGATATGTCACAATCAATTCCAGTATTTTTATGAGTACATTTTATAATAGGTATTTTAGCACAAATTAAAGGAAAAACCTTAGTAAATACATTACTTTGACGAAGCTTATTAGCAAATGATTTTATCACTTTTTTGGTTGGATCTTTTGAAACTGAAAAAGTATTTAAATAACAAAAAAATTATATTAAAAAAAGAAATAAATAATTTTAAATTTATTAAAAAAAAAAAAAAAAAAAAAAAATGGGGATTCAAGGAGCATACAATTAAAACTAAAAATAATAATTCTTTTATAATAAACTTTAAAAATTTAAGGTTGAAATCTAATAAATAATATTAATTATGAATATGAATATTTCAATCATTATAAACTTATTTTAACTATTAAAGATAAAAAATTATAGATTTTATTATAAGTTAATACTTTATAAAATAACTATTACTGTATAAATTAGTATAATAAAATTTATTGTAATACTGACCATAACTTATATTAAAATCAACATCACTGCCAGGAATATTAAGACCTGAAATTCTTGATCCATAAGGTAAAATGTCTGTTATAGTTGTGTTTAATCCATTAGAATTTACTAAAATTCTTTGTAACTCTGATTTGAATAATGTAATAATATCTACATCTGGTACATAATTAATTTCTTTTGATTTAAATTTTTCTGCAATGCAATAAAATATATATTTAAATATTACAAATATGAATTAAAATTTTAAAGCATTTAATTAGTTTTGATTTTACTGTTTTTGTAACATTCTTCAGATTGTAGAGATCTTTTTTTGGCATTGAAATGTTTATTATTTGCACTAAAAAAAAAAAAAAGTTATGATAAACTATACTTAATTAAAAAAGTTGAAAAAATATAGTCAATTAGTTGCACTGTGGTGTGTTTCAAGATAAATTTAGAAAATCCCAGTTGAAAGAATAATTTGTATAATATATTTTATGTAATTTTAAATAATATTTTTTTAATTTTATTTTGTCATAATACTCATAATAATAACTAATAACTATTTAAAAAGTTTAATTAATTAATTTTTAATTTTAACAAACTCATCAATAAACTCTATAGTATCTTGCAATAACTGTCTGAACTTATTTTCAATATATATCAACATTAAATTATGAAAATGTCAGTATATATATTTGATATATCTTTCATTTAAGAAATATTCATAATCATTGTAATAATTGTAAATTTTAAAACAAAAATTACCATTTAAAAAATTGTTTGATATTAGATCAAGTAATGATATTGCAATTAAACAATTAGAGTTGTTGTTAAACTTTTTGTTTATTTTACTTGGTATATTATAATATTACTTAGTTGCCAGTGTGTTACAAATGATAAAAATAATTTATTCTAATTTTAATTATATATACAAAATATAAATACATTATTAAATATGTAACAGAGTTATCAGTTAATAAAATATATTAACATTGAACATTGTTCCACAATAAAATTCATATTTTTTTCTAAATTTGGTTTTATCAACTCATATTGTTTTTTTAATATTAATAAATTGTCAACTTTTTTTAAAATCAGACTATTACATAGAAAAAACAAAATAATATTAATTCAGTTTAGGAATTCAAAATTAGTGTTGGTTAGGCCTACCTTTTAAGTACACTACTGATGTTACATATAACATAGATATAAAAATATATAATTTTTATTTATAAAAATCAGGATATTTAAAAATGCTAGACAGAACACCAAACATTCATTTATTTAGAGTAATTACCTGTGTTGGAATGAAACACACTGGTTATCCATTTTTACAAATTTTCATTACATCTAAAAATAAAAAATTAAATTTTATATTATATATAAATAGTAGTTACAGAGTATAAATGTTTATAGAAAATACCAATCAGTAAAAGAAAATGCATTTCCAACTATGCCTTGGACAAAACAAAAAAAATATAAATTGGCTAGAAACAGATTGTGAAGTGATAACTCAGACATTGGTTAAATTTAAATTTTCAAAACTTGCTAAAAAGTGTAAATCATTACACGAGAAGTTCGTAATAGACAAAATAGCAAAAGAACACGACATAGTCTTTTGGTTACCTCCTTACCACCGTGAATTAAATCCTATAGAACTCAAATGATCCTGGATAAAAAACTATGTTTATATGAACAATGTTACATTTAAATTGCATAATATACATGATTTATTAAAAAAGTTAGATTAGTTGTTAAGTTATTTATAATTTAACCTTATCTTGTTTTTTCCATAATTTTGAGTTCAAATGGTTAAAATTTGTACTAAAAATATTCTATTTTTAACGTTTATGTACGAAGTGTAAATTCAATTTTATTATTTAAATTTTAAAATCTTACCATTTAACTCTGCGTTAACGTAGTCTTCCGTCTTCGTGCACTGCATTAGTCTACTGGTTTGTATATGAAATATGAATTGTTATCGAATATTAATATATTATAATATATATAGAATAAGGATAATGATTATATTATCTTAAATCATTGGTCATTATTATGGTCACAGTGTTAACCATAGTTTTTGGATCTGTGGTATAACTATAAATAATAAAAACAGCTGATAGAAAACTTGATAACCTGTGACAACTGTGATAATTAGTGATTATAATATTTAATCCTATTTACTATTAACTATTAAGTATTAAGTATTCATCATAAAAAAATAATTACTTGTTTTTACTTGTTAATAATTATTAGTTATTTGATGTTTGCCAATTCGCCGTTCAGTACCTAGTACTTGGGTGTTATTACTTAATATTGTTTATTGGTATTTATTATTCGTAATTTGATATTTACCATTTGCTAGGTAAGATTTTAAGAATTATGATAATTAATTCAATATTGAAGAAATTCAACATATATCAGAACTATTCATTTTACAACCAACTAATCAAACAATATTATATTGTTTTAACGGTTTAATTATTTATTTGTGTTATTATATTAGTGAATATACAAACAAAAATAAATAATTTTTTTTTTCTATAGTTTAAATTTAACCATCAATGTATTATTTATTTTAACAGGAGCATAATATAGTTATTAAATATAATTAAAATGATCACAAAATATCAGGTAAGAAAAAGTTAAATAAAAATTCATAAAATAATATGTATAATACAGGGTTCAACAGTGAAACAAAAAATTTTAATATTTAATTAATTTAATTTATAAGAATTAATTAATTTTTATTTTAACAAATATAAATATGAATTACAAGAGTTATCATTTAGTTTTCATTAATAAAAGGCTATTTTCTATTAACTATTTTTAAATGACATCTATTGAAATGTATGCAGTCTTGTAGACCCTTAACTCTCCCGATTCTATGGCTTGTGATTTGTTTTATGGTATCTTTAATCAAAAATGTTTAAATACAATCAACCGAGAACTATCCATGCCCTCAAATAAGGTATTTGGGATGAAATTGAAGTAGTATATGTTGATATTTAATGAGAGGTCATGCAAAACTTCTAGTCATAGCTTTAAAAATGTATAAATTAAAATTTTTAATGGAGGTTATTTGAATTAAGTAGCAATTAAATAGCAAATGGAAATAATTTTTTTTTTACACCAAATAGTAATTTTTGTACTTTATATTTATACTTTTTAAAATTATCATGAATTCATTCTTTGAAGAAAAAATTAAATATTAAAATTATCCTGTTTCACTGCCATACCATAAATATAAAACAATAAATAAATTAACAAAATATTAATATTGTTGATGTTACATTATTTTAATAATTTTTATCCAAGTACATATAAAAAATTAATTTGAGTCCATGTATGATATTTATAACAATAATTAGGTATATAATTGTTATCTCTACTTATCATTATGTATAAGAAATAATTAATTTACTGTGTTAAAAGACCCTTATTATTGTTAAAACCGTTTAAAATCCAAAATTTTTATGCCTATAACTCCTTGAATTATAACTAAAGAGGTTTATAGCACTTGACATCTTAATATTTAAATGGTCTGGTCAGGCCTGTGTCTGTGTGCTTGGTAGAAGTTTGGGGGTTCACACTACCCTACTGTCTTCTTATTTATAAATCATTGACAGTTATTGGTTTTGTCATATTTGAATAATGATTACTTCTGCAATTCTCCTGAAGTACATAATGTATGATCAAAAAACTATAGTCAATAAATGGTTAAAAAATTAATGTTAATATAATCCTTTTTTTTAATTCTAATTTTATCTTATAATGCTCTTTATAAAGAAATCCTATGCATGGTTAGGTTATTTATTATGTTTAAATTGAACTGTACAAAACTATTTCATACAATTCACAAGAGTAAGTACTCAATAATAATTGTAGTTGCAGCCAGAGATTTATAAACTTCTTATAAAACTATAATCAAATTAAAGCTAATAATAAACTATATAGTTAGTTTTAAATGGTTATACATCTAAGTTTGTTATGCCAATTCATATCTAAATGCGTACATTAGATTCTATTAAAAATAACTTAAAAATTTATTATCTCTTAAAATAAATTTTTACCTATTAAAAAATTATGTATGTCTAAGTTAAGTTAGATAACTAATTGAACCATTACTACCCTTTTTTAAATTATTACAAATAATTAACATAATAATTGATTATTTTAGGTTTATTATATTAACATATATGTATTTTAAAGGTAAGATGTCTTCCACAACAATTGGTATAGGTGCTATTATCTTAATTGGACTCTGGTCATCTTCTTTTATACTGTGTCTTCTGTCTCTTCGAACACGTCATAGTATTGGACCAATTGTTTTGGTATCTACAATCCTCATAACAATTATAATACTTTCAATACCTAGAAGTTCAGTAGATACACATAAACCAGATATAAAGGTATTAGTTATTCAGTAAATACTTAGTATATTTTTTATTTTATTCTTATCTATACTTTTAATTAAAATATAAATTATTTTTTTAAATTTTCTATCTTTAGATTGTAGATCCACTGTTTGTTTGGCGTTTAGCAATTCTGAGTGTACTATCAATAAGTACAGCAATAGGATTAACTGCATTGTTTTCTTCACATGTTATGAGTCGCAAAACTGTGCCGCAACTTAAGTCTTGGGTACTATAAATTATTACCTAATAGTCCTAATACACACAATGTCTTTCAACCGCATTCGTTGTTTGGAAAAAGTCCATCAAACGACTAAACGATCAATGTCAGTTGGCCGTATTTATCGTAAATCATTTACTGTGTGTGGCAGTGAAGACTTTATACAGAATGTATTGAAAAGTGATATTCCTGTGATTGTCAATTTCCATGCAGAGTGGTGTGAACCTTGTTTAACATTAACACCATTATTAAAAAAAATGGTTGGAGACTCACCAGCTGTACATTTAGCAATAGTGGACGTGGAAAAAAATGCTGATTTGGTTCATACGTTTGAGGTAAAAGCAGTTCCAGCTGTTTTAGCCATTCGCGATGGTCATGTCATTGACAAATTTATTGGACTTGTTGACAATGATATGATAAATGAAATGGTGAAAAAAATATCTAAACCAGAATAAGTATAGATATAATGATGATCTTATATATAATATAAAATTGTATAAAAGCATTAAATTGTGACATATTTAATATACCTTTTATTATAGTTTATTACTAGCTTGCTTTTAAACCAGTTTTGAAGTTAGATATTAATCTTTTATATAGTAATTATTCCCAAATATAACTAAAAATTTGAAAATTATTTTATTTCAAAATCCAGCTTATAATATAATATAGTACATTTAACATGAATTGTTTTTCTAGTCACTATTATGTTTGTTTTATATTACTATTGAAATATTCTAAAATAATTTATGTGTTTATATAAATATTGAAATTCATGTATTAGTAATTTTAATTTTTTTTTTTTAATTTAGTAATTTAAACATTGCATCTACTTATATTATGAGCTATAGAATACAGAAGTACTATAATTAATTTTGATTAGTCATGTTAATGATACAATAAGAGGTTTGCCGAATTTTAAATAGTAAAAATGGTTTCCAATTTTTCTGTGAATATTTCTGAATAATATAATTTTTAACAATACAATAAAATAAAAAGTTGTTTTTATTTATTTATATATATCAGTTTTTGTTTGACTATATTTTAAATGAAAAATTAATTTATGTATTTTCTTAAATTTTAAATAATTAAAAAATTAAATAATCAATGACTATACTCTATTTCATATAAGAATAACTCTGAGTGGCTGACTCCTAAATAGCGGGTTAGGAGTATATACAGATTGAGTGTCATGTATGCTTTTAAGAGTAACATTATTATTTTTTCAACTGCAACCTATCATTGGAAACAAAAGTTAATTATCAGCTCTAAAAATTGATTTATTGAGGGATATGGTCAGACCTAATCTGTTGCCCTTCAAGGTAAATATTATATGAAATGGAATTTTGTTATTTAAAATGACAATATTCATACAAATTGGTACTTAAAATTTAAAAATTAAATTTTAATATTTTTTCAATTAGTCCCAGTAATTATTTTATACATAATATATGTCTTAATTTTTATTAAAATATTTGAATTTTACAAATTTAGCTATCAGTTATAAAAAAAAAAAAATTATTATGATAAAAATAAACACTTAATATTTTTAAGTGCATACAATATTTTTGTTTAGATGTTTAAGTTAAATTAAGTGTCATGGACAAAATCCTTTGATCTTTTAAGTGTAAAAAATAAGAATATATTTTAATAATTACTATGGAGCTCTTAGTTCTGCTAAGTATTCATACATAAACTATTTACAGTATTTCTAATCCAAAACCCTCCATGCTATAACCAAGGCACCCTTTTGAATTTCAAACCAGTCCCTATATAATAATCTTGTAATTTCTTTTGTTTAAGATGTAGCAAAAACTTTCTATAAACAATTCAACTTAAATTTACAAAACAATTAAGTCCCTTAATGAAAATTCAAACGTCAATAAACATTCTTGGTAATTCAAAAAAAAAAGATTAAAAATATGATGATGCCAGACTCTATTTACCTAAAATTGATTACCCAAACATTGTAATAATTGAAATTTTAATTAATTAATTATCAAAGTGCCTTCACTGGAAGATTTCTTTGTTCTATCATCTGCTATAAAATCTTTTATTACTTACATTTCTTATTCAAAATATAGCAGATTTTTAAAATATGTATTAAAAAATAAATAAAAAAAGAATATATTCTAACAGCTATTAGCTAATTAGTTAAATTTATTTTATCAATGATGGTACATGACTAATATACAGTGTATTATGAATTCATAGTTCATATATTACTAATTTGTCAAGAACACATTTTAAATTTCTAACCATCATAACAATCATTATAACTAACAGAAATTAATTTTACATGGATAGTTATATATATATCCATTCTATTATTTAAGTTGATTTAGAGATTAAAATATTATGAGTAATTTATACATGTTAAAGTCTCATCAATTTGTGTGTCACATAATTTGGTTTTATTCAATGTTTTTTCTGGGAATTGTAAGCCTCTATTATCATTTGGGGAAACTTCTTTCAAAAGTTTAGGTAAAATATTTGTGATTAAAAATTTGTGAATCTTTATTGAATTTCTATATTCTTGTTTCTTCTCCCACTTTAGATTTTTATTAATATCTTTTCTCCACTGTTCTTTCATTATATTTAACTTGTTCAATAATATTTGTGGTTGTCTGTTTATTTTTCTTGTTGTGCTTGATATTTTTGTTGATATTATTTGACTTTCATTTGTTCCATTTATCATACCTTCATACCCAATATCTTTAAATGAATTACGACCAATCAGCGATATTATAGTATCTGTATAAAACTTATATTCTAAATTATTATAAGATATAGTTTCATCCCCTAATGCTAATGATACATTTATTCTATGTACAATAATACCTTCATTTGTACAATAATCTTCTAGATAATTTATTAATTTTAATTGATAGTTTTGTTTGTTATTCACATAAATATTTTCTGATGTATTTTTATTGTTCATATTTGCATTGTTTATAAAATTATTGAAATTAATTTCTTTTTCATACTATATATCTGAACTTTGAGAGTCAAATCTATTAAAAATAATTTCATTGTTTTGCTCTAAATTATTGCAATCTAAACACATTATATTGCTTTCATTTATCATTGTTGAACAAGTGTCTTCGCAGCATTTTTGAATATTTGTTTTTATATAATTATATGATAATAAAATTAAAATATTTGGGTAGGTAATATCACTAATGTCTTTATTAAATATACATTTTATTTGCTCCACGTATAAAGGGAAAATATTGAGTATGTATCCTTGATTACGACTAGAAAACGAAGAGAGTGAATCTTTAATTAACGGCATCAAGTAATAATTGTCTAATTGTCCATTATTTTTATCAAAATTTTTTTTATATTCCTCATATTTTGCATTCAATTTTTCTATCACAAATTTAATATTTTTAATTTCTGTATCATTTTCAAGTAGATCTATTTTATTTTTTGTAAATAATTTATAACTTTCATGCTCTTTAAAATAAATATTGTATCTTAAATCATTGAGATTTAAACTATTTTCAGACTGGTCTGTGAAAATTTCATTTTTTGATTTGTATGTGTTATTGTTCTCAAATTTAAGATTTTTGTTAGTAAAATCTATTATTTCATTGTTATTTTGTTCGTTTGAAGAATTATTATCTATACTCAATTGTTCATCAATCTGTTCTAACCATTCATTAAATTGAGTAATTAATTTTGCTAATTCATGTTTAATATTGGTTTGTTTTATGTATAAACCATTCATTTCTAACCCTAATTCACATAAATCATTTTTCAATAAGGCAAAATAATTATTTGTTAAATTAGGAATATCAATTAGTTGTACTTTATAATATTTGGCTAAACGCTTTGCAATGTTGGATGATACATGTGTTGGTTGCCCACTAACTATAATTTTTAATGGGTATAAATTATTTGCTTCAATAAATTCATGTGCTAATTTTTTCATATTTGATATTATTGATGTTTGTAGTATTTGATAATCAGGTATAATAATGTCTAGAATATTATCCATATTTAGGTCACTACATATTAAATCCCATGTAAAGCTGTTAAATTTATATTGTTTTATGATTAAATGGTCTTCCTTTAAAACTAAACGTGCATTACAAAGTTCATCGCGTACGGATTTTATGATGTTATTGAAACCATATGATTTTTGTTCTACTGCTAGTATATAGTTATTCTTAATACAATCATAGTTTGAAATAATAAATACTAATTTGGCTAATTCATCTACATGAAATACAGGCACTATTCGATTCAACATGGCAATATACATTTCTTTAGGATTGTACCAAGCATTAGTGAATACATAACGAAAAGCATTTTCTTCATGACCATAAATAATGCCAGTACCAATTATAAATGTTTTAAAAATATCTTTGATTTTTGATGAATTAGATTTTAAAAGTAATTTTTCAAATTCAAAAATGTTTTGATATTTAGCAGTTGGTAATCGCTTCAAAATACCTTTATGTGTAAAACTAATATTTACTTCTTCATTCTCACGATATGTTTGATCATTACAAGTTTCTTTAACCCAAGTCATTGAAGTTGATATTAATATGAATTTTCTTATAATTCCTTTTTCTTTGGATCTCATTATTTCCTCATCACTATAATTAATCAATTCATTGTATATATAATTAAAAGAAAATCTAGCTTGTTCTAATTCTAACGCTGAATCATTTGTAACATCAAATAAAATAACACTGCACTGCATTAACTTGGTTAGAACTTTATTTGTTTTTTATCACTTTACAATTTTTTAAATGTTCATGACTTGTATTGCTTTGCTCATTTAATAAACTTGTAATTATTTTTAAATTTGCATCATCTTTTATCATTTTTTTAAATTTTGTTGTTGGTTTTTGTAAAGGCATTAAATGTGGTTTGAAAAACATACCAAGTTTATTAAATTCATTCCTTAAATAACTTATTTTCATAGTATTTGAAGGTTGATCTATGAATTCTTGATACTGTTTTTTCGTGAGAAGTCCAATACTACTCATTATACTAATATTTTCAGTTAATAGCAACAAGTCTTGTGTTTCATTTATTATTTTGTGTAATTCAGTATTATAAAAGTTATTTTCTACTTTACTGATTAATGTAGTATTGGGGATATTAACAGAATTATCATTTAAATTAATTGTTTCATTAATATTTATAGTTTTTTTAAAGTATTCAATAATATATTTTCCATTAAATGTATCTCCATTATTAATAAATACCTTATTCTTTGAGAAAAATTGTCCACATTGATTTTGACGTTTAGAATGCATTTGTGCATAGCTATACTCAAAAATTGTTGGAAATTGAAATACAATTGATTCACTAGTTAAGATATTCAATGAATTCATTTTTCACAATTATATTTTTATATTTAACTAAAATCAAATCTTTATAAATAATATTAGCTTATACTGTGAAAGAAATGGATTTACTAATAAAACTCACAAAACTCAAAAATAATACACAATTTATTCCATAGAAACTGAATTATATTAATTTTGTTATATTAACTGTTTATATAAGCAACTTTAGATGCTTCTAAATCCAGAGTTAATTTTTAGTTCTTTGAAATTGATATTCATGAAAATTTTTAAATCTTGTTTTATACTTACCAAAAAAAACAATTAAAAAAAAATTATTTAAAGTTACCAAAGTACAAAATTAAATGAATTTACAATGAAAATTATCTGATTTAGGTCTATATCTGATCTGTTTTATTTAATTTAAACAATTAAATGATTAAAAATATATTTACAAACATTCATCAACTAGGTAATAGTAACATTAATTTTATATAGTACTTAAAATAATATTAACTATAACTTTAATTTAAACATTAATTCCATCATCTTCACTATCATTTTCAATCTGTTTATCCCAATCTTTAATTTTAGTTCCACCCATAAAATCATCTCGAAGAACATCCCAACCATTTTCATCATTCTCCTAAAAATTTTTTACTAAAGTTAGTTAAGTCATAAAAAATTAACAATATTTAATCACAACATTTTTAATAATTAAAAATTAATTAATAATAAAATATATGAAAAGATGAATATACTTACTTTTCTATGATCGATAGAATCAATAAATGATTTTTTATCTAGAGATTCCAACACCTTATCTTGTTTTAAAATTGATGGTCCTACATTTTTCAATTTTTTCTCTACAGTTCTTTGTTGCTGCTTAACTAAATTGAATAATTGCACAACACCCCTACAAAGATGTAATGTAATATAATATCAAAGTTCAAATTTTTAAAACAGAAAAAGTAGCTAACTACTCTATTGTATAGTAGGTGTTAACCATACTATAATCAATTGACAATTTGTAAAAATTTAAACTTCAAACACTTATAAAAAATTAATAAACTTTCTGGTAATTTTTTATTTTATTATAGGTAAAAACCATAAAAAGAATCTTGTATTTATTTTTTAAGCTTTTTAGCTAACCTAGCAGCAATATATATTTTACCAATCATTATTAAAAAAAAATAAACTATAAATTGAAAATGCCTATAATTAACTCAAAAAGAATCAAAATGTTTTGAAAATTGTATTATGTCCAGAATATTTTGTAGGTAAATATAAATATTCAGTAAAAATTTTAAGAATCTATGGTTATTTCTGTTTAAGTAACACCAAAAAACAAAATTGATTTTATCAAACTGGTTTTGCATAAAAATTTCTGTTTTTTTAAATTTTTTTTTTCTTTGAAAAGTTCTGAAAATATTTTAAATTTGACTTCCTTAGTACCAATTAGATCCAATTTGCTACTAGAAACCACTCTTAATTAAAAATCAAAGCATTTTTATAATACCAAAAAAGGATAAACAGACACAAAATCAAAAAACATACATCATTGTAAAATTATTACATTTACTGCTCAGAATCTAAAATTAAAAAAAAATATTCAATTAAATAGAAAATTACTTACTTTGTAGCAATTTTTGATAAATTTTTTTCTTTAATTCTATCACTAACTGAAGGTTTTTGTCTTCCCATTAATACTTGTTCTCTTATCTATAAAAATCAAAATCAAAAGATTACATTTTTCATTATAATTTTTAATGAATATACATTTAAATAATTGTTATTAAAAATTATTGATAACAAACACTAGCTTATTTAAAAGGAATTGACAAAAGTGAGCTGAGCAATGAATGTATTGGTTTAACATTTAACAATGATATTCTCTGTATATAAAGTCAATTGTTACACACTCAACTCGTAATACAACAAATTTCAAGAGATTGAGCAAAAAGTTTGATATATTGAAAGTTTGTTACATCAAAATTCGTTAAATTAAAATCATATATTAACAAAATTTGTTTTAAAACTATTTAAAAGAAAATTCAAAATTTAGATTTTATTAGATTATTATAATAAAATATATATTAGATACAATTATTTTATTAGATATATACATTCCAACACTAGTAATTATTTATTAATAAATACAAACTTTGTTTATTAAATACATAAATATTTATTTTTATTTTTTAAATTCGGTTATTTTTATGGTTGTGTGTAGCCAATTGCGCTTACTTAGTTAAAAGCATTATTCAAAAATAAAATGTTACATAACACACTGTTGTCGATGTCATTTCTTTGTAAATATTTTAAGAGAGATCGCAGAGACCTGATTTTGCTTCTTACGAGGATATTGAGGGATCATCAGAATATTCTTCGTCATCAGCTTTGTTTAAAATCTTATTGTTATTATGAGTAACAGTCAACTAATTCATCAGCAATAGCAACAAATGTTTTATAGTTATTATTCACCAATGCACGTGTAATTTATGTATATAACGATGACATGAATTTTATCTTATAGCATGATATTAGCCAAAACAAAATTATAAAATTCATTACATGCGAGAATTTTGGCTAAAATAGCTTTGTAATGTTGAGGTGACAAAAATACATTAAATTTTTTTGTTATATTACAAGATTTCTAAAGGAACGGCAATTATATACAATATATTGAGCTTCGTTAAACCACAACTTGTAATATAATTATAAAATAGGTAAACAGAACAAAGAATAACTTCTTATTTAGTCATAAGCATCAAGCAAATTGTTATTACTGGTAATATTTTTATTTTATTAAAATTGATTTATTATTGTAAATTAAATAACTAGTAATATCATCATACCAACATTTTAAGTTTTAAAAACAAAAAAGTGTCAAAATTATTAATATTTCAACAAAAAATACAAGCCATAAGTACATTTTGGGTAAAAACATAATTATTAAAGTATCTTTTAAATTCTAAGGATTGTTATTTTTTTCAAAATTAATATTTTCAAATTTAGCTTTATAAAATAAAGAATATAATGTTCATGAGTTAAAAAATTATTATTTATTACCAATAAAAATTACTAGAAAAATTGTGATCATTAAATGATGCAAATAATATATTAACTAATTTTTATAATAATATTAGATAAATACATTATACGTGTTTGCTTATTATCGTACTTTAACATAAAAAATATTTAAGTTGATAATACTTACTCGAATTCGATTTGGTATTTTTGGTTCTAAATGTTCTAAGTCTGGTTTTTCATCTTTAATTTCTTCAATATTAACTGGTGTGGCAACTTTCTGACCACCTTTATCTACAACTTCAAATGTGTCATCTACATCTTCTTTTTCTTGTTTTATTTTAATAAGATCAGTTGCTGAAATGATCTTTGCTTTGGACAATACTAATGGTTTTCCTTTTTGTTTTTTTGTTTTTAAGATTTTGCTCATAGCATCAGCCCAGGCAGGATTAGACATCTTGAGGCTCTCGTTTGTGGTCGTTTCTGATAAATCATTAGGGACATTCATTATAATTCGATTGACGCGTGTTAACTAAAAAATGAATAACATTAACTAAAAAATAATTAATATAAATTGAGTAATACTAATAATACACACTATAACTCTAAGATTCTTATTTATTCTATCAATTTGATCTGTTTGCAGCAATAATAACTTTCAAAATCTAAGTACCAAATTACCAACAGTAACTAGTAACAAACAACAAATAATAATTAATAAGTATTAAACTATTAAGTAACAACTACACTATAATAAAACACGTGAACGTTATCACTTATCACATATTTTTATTTCAATCTTTATGTTATACCAAGGAACAAAATATTGTAATGGCTGGTCTTTATGTGGGGGTAATATTAAGCACGTGTCTACTGTCTAATTTTTTTCACTATCATTATGTTAGGCTGTTATCAATATACCAAACCATAATAATATTATAATATTACAATTTACAATATTATTAAATATATAAAATATGAATATTATATAGTATATAATTATATATATATATTATGTATCAAAAAAAATATCGAATTATTCATTTATTTGAAATCTAAGTTGAGACCTACATATTTCTTATGCTTCATATCTCCAATATTTTACTTTAAAAATATTACTGGAAGTATTGTGTCATAATAAAGTTCAGTTAGACATTTAATTTTAGTTCTTAAAGCATATTAAATGTATAAAGTATGTAATAAATATTTAATTAAATTTTTATTTCTTAAAATAGTAATACTTAGACTCGTCTCAATTTTTAAATTAATTTTTTTTATTTTTGATAGGGAAGAATGTAAAATTTTAAGATATATAATTTATATTCCATTTTTGAAAACCTTAATTTATGTTTATGAAAATATCAAATCAAAGAGTTACAGAATTGATCTATTTTTTCATATCAAATTGATATTTTATATGACACCACAATATTTTATTTTCTAACATTATAATTTATGCACAAAGCCTTTTATAGTATATAATTAATTAGAATGGGAAATATATTATAATTTTGAGTGTATAATAAATAAAAAATAATTTTTAAGTATCTACTAGAAAAATTCATTACTCTTAATATGCCTATTTCTTAAATTTATGGGATGTGCTTTAGTGATCAATTTCAATAGATAATTGATAAACATACAAATAAAAATAGGAATACATTTTTAAACAATTTTTTCTCAATTTTTAATTTGCCCTTGATAAAAATTGATTTATAAAATACTATTTCATTAGTACTTGAATTATATGTAGTCCATTATTCGGTCAAGTTAACTCTTAAAATTAATTAAAAGAATATCAAATGATAACAACTCGTCGTTATCTTCTTAAATCTTCACATTTATATTTTTTAAACTTCTGATTAAAACCAATTTATTATTATTATTTATCGTATGGCACTTATGTCCGGGAGTAGGCCCGAAGGCCTATAGTTCGGACGCCTATTTATTATTATTAAGAAGATAGTACTTCAAATAGTTTCATACATTTATTAGGTGGCTTTTCATCAAACTCATTTGGTAAATAATTTTTTATTTTAATTTTTAATTGAATTATTGTTTCACATTCCTTTAAAATATGATCATAGCAATTCAAAATCAGTAATTTATATGCATATATACACAAATATTATATATTAAAACAAAAGTGAATGCAGGTTATTAGGAATTTTATTTTATAATTTTGATAATATATATAGTTGAAAATGAATGGTATTAAGCAATTGTAATACAATTTTGATTAATTACATATTGTTTGAAACTGACATTTTTGTCAAATTCTTTAAGGCATATTTCATCATAAAATTAGGTATGATTGAGATTGTGATCCAACAACTACCTCTTACCAATTTTCAGGCCGTGTATTATTCTTTAATCTTTATCCAATTTATTGTAAATACATTAGTTAATGGTTTAAATTAGAGTAAATCTAAGAAATTATTGTTAACTATTAATAAATAAATTTAAATATATAATTATAGATGTATATATCAGCAATACCATGTAGATCAAATAGTTTTGGTAATTTTATCTTCCAATTAAAAATGGTCAGCATAAACAAGTATTACAAATGTTTCATTACAATTTGCATTGCTTATTTTCTTTTCATTTTTAATATAAGTGCTTTTGGTTGATCAAAAAACGAAATTTTTAATTGTTAAAAATAACATGTGTTTTTTATTTTTCATTTTGAAAAGAAGAAGAAATAATAATTAATTAAATTAGCCTAACATAAAATACAAGTGTATTCATTTTATATATATTTTTAGATTTATTAACTAATAATTAATAAATATTAAAACATTCAATATAAAATATTTTTAGATATGCCACTTTATTACTTTAATATTATTTCTGAGTTATCAAGTCAATAGCTTAGAAATAAACTACCACGGGCGCTAATCTTTGATCTATATATAGGTAACAGCATTTCCCAAACTTTTTCTCTGCCGAACCCCTTTAACTTTGAGATAGTAAAATAAAAAAATAAAAATGATTACTGACATGCGGAGTGCGGATCCCCTTAATGAAAATAAAAAACAATAATAAATAATGTAATATAATATAATATCATTGATACTATTTATTATATTAGTATTATAATAATCAATGATAGAATTTTCAATTTACTTTCGTGGACGGGACCACCTCCAGTACACTCCATGAAACGCTGGTCTATAATACTATATAGATGTGTTCTTTCAACCCCCCCCCACCCGTCACGTCGAGATAATGCTATAAAAAAATAAATAGTCGACTATATAAACGGTTAAAACGATACTTAGTAAATATTAATAATTAATACCAAAAAATCATTATTCAGCCATGGTCTACTAAATCATAGTCCATACTCTGAAATTTAATAAAAATAAAATAATATTTGAAATCATGACGCTAAAACAGCTGATCAAATTTTGTTTACTTGTGATTTGAAGTACAAAAATTTAAGGACTTGGTAACGAATTCATGTATCAACAAGAGTTTTGGTAACGTTTACTGAAACGCAGCATTCAAGGCCAATCGCCTAATCCAAACGAATTGCACAGTGTCGTACACTCGTAGGTTTACATATTACACAAAACTGACGTTCACTGTTATCCGTTATCAGAGATATTTTATTTCAGACATTTCAGTTGTAACACTGCTTACTGCTTGGTTTAATGGGTACTGGGTAGTTAGTAAACAAATCTATTTCTCTCTTTAGATTTTTCGTTTGGACTACTCAGTGTCAGTACTCAATTGTCTATGTCTATACAATATACTTAAATTTGGCTATTAGTGATATCGATATTACTTATTTTGAAATTATAATGGCTTTAATTTGTGATTATTTTTAAATGTTTAATTTATTTAAATATATTTAAAGTGCTGTGGATTAAGTTGATTAAATTAACGAACGTAACTATCTACATTTCGAATGTACCTACTATTTTATTGAAATAAAGTTTAAATATGCTCATTGATTGGACATTCTAGACCAATGTATTACACATCAATTAAGTAATAATTCTGGATTTCTAACGATGTCTACAGCTACAAGGTATTAATGTATAATTTTTTTTGTATACTTGAAATGCTAATATAAATAAGCTATTAATCGAGATTATTTAGTTGACCACTGTAAACAGTTTTTTTACTGCTTGGATATTTTAAACAACAAATTTAATTATTTGTATTTGCTTAAATAATTTAAATAATTTATAGTATTCTTTAGACAATATTTTCAATGTTTAGTGATATGTTAATACTATTTTAGTTATTTCAAATATACATTAATTCTTCTAATTTGATATTGTTTTATCAAAATATTTTTAACTTTCATGTTTATTAAGCAAATTTGAGTATCAAACTATTACTTTTTATTTTACACATATTTTTATCTTTATTTCAGTAGTGATAATTCAGACATCATTAGCAAAATTCAAAAAATAACTGAAGAGAGTGGAAATAACATTTTAGTGCGTAAAATTGTATGTACTGATAAAATTATAGACATTCCTTACAATAAGAAAAAATATTCTGAAGTATCCATCTCATCGTTAAGTAGTTCTTCAGAGTCAAACATTTCAGATTCTGATACCGACAATAGTTCAGGTAATTATGTTTTTAAACAAACCAATTGAATTTGAATTTAATAAAAAAAATTTGTTGACAATTTACCATAGATTTGAACAGCGACGTAAACGAAAAATTACAGGAAAAGTGTGACGAACAAGTACAAAATATTGAAACAAATTTTTATTTCTTAAAAGAAATGTTAGTAATTTATACATTTATATTTCTCTTATTTTTAATAGTAACCAGAAAAAAGACATTAATATTAATTATGATAAGATACTGATGATATTTAAAATATAGCTATAATAGATGATCTTTATGTTGCAAAATTAACTAATTTATCCATCTACAAACATATGCAATTGTGTTGTCCATTTAATTATTTCAAATGATTTAGATTTTGAGAAATTATTTTACCATTCACCTAATTTATTTACCAAAGAAAAAAAATTCACTCAGTATTCCTAGATATAAAACCTTCAATAAGGTTTAGTACTCTAATATCTTATTTAAATTACCTTCACCATATTATTAATCATACTATGTGTTAGGATAGTTATTATTACATTTGAGATTAACACTATGAATACTGTGTGTATTATACATATATATACACACATATATATATTTACCAAATTTTAGTTATTTAAAAATATAGTACAATTTTAAATAAAATATTTTTAAGTCTTAACTTTACAAGTTAACTTTTTAATGTTTCTATTACACAATAAAACTTAATTAAAACATTGTAATTTCAAATCAGTTTTTGTCTCTTTTCTTTTATATTTTTGATTTAACTGATAAATTATATGTTTTAATATTCTATACTATATTAATTATGTAGGTTGTATAGTGAAAGAATAAGAGAAGTTGAAGAGAAGTTAGTTGAAGTGAGATTAGGTACAGCTAAAGAATACCGTATACCTTTACAAGAATTACAAGATCAAATGAAATCTCGACTCGAAGTAGCATCTGTATTAAGACAGTTCAAATTAACAAATTTAAAACATAAATATGAAGCAGAAGAACAAGCAATAAGACAAAATTTTGAGGTAATATAATCTTTTTTTTTTCATAACAATTTAATTAATCCTCATGTTTTTATCATTTTCTTTTTATAAAATCAAAAATTTTATGGAGGAAAAAGATATTTATATTTATTTACATATACCTCTCAGATTTAACCTATTTATAATCATTTCAGAATAATAAAGAAATTTTATACGATACTATAAAAGCTGATTTAGAAGAAAAAATTCAGCGATTAGAAGAAGCGCGTAATGAAGTAGATATAGATGCCTCTCTTTGGTTAGGTCGTAGTTTAACTCGTAGTGGACGTGGACGTGGAAGACGACCCTATGGGCATGTACAACCCAAACGCAAACCTGTTATTGTATCTGGTCCATGTATAGTCTATAACCTCAGAGAACATGAAATACTTGAAGATTGGACCACAATTAAAAAATTGTTATCATCGTCAAAACGAAAAGAAAATGCGATGCAACGATATAAACCATATGAATACAGTAACAAGGTATTTCAGTAAGTTTTTTGCTTGTATATTAAGTTTGGATTACATCAATATTTGACTATTATCTTCTTATAAATTGAGTTAACTGTTTGTATGTTGATCAGTTGATCCCTTATCATATACTTGAAACCTTGATTTAAAATCATTCAATTATGATTGGTGTCTTTGCTTATGTCAAATTATGAATTGAAAATACAATTTTACTCTTCTGTACTTAACCAAATAAATATTTGAATGATTTAGAAAGGGGTTTCTATTTCAATTAATAAAAACTCATATTACCATTTTAACTCACATATAGATTTATTTGTTTAATAATTTTAGTAGTTTTAATTATAAATTAATTGTTTTAAATTTTAATTAAATTGAGTAAACTATGTACAAGAAATTAATTTCACCGTATTTGACATTTACACTTAACATATATTATGTAATAGAATATTAAAATTTTTCTATGTAATTAAAATAATAATTAAGTATTGTATATAATTGTAATAAATGATTCAGTCTTTATGTATTGTTTTATTATTGAAAAATGTATTTTTACTAATTGTAGGCGAACCATCATAAATTATTTGTCTAGTAACTGGGTATTGTGGAGTTTTGGATGATTGGTATTGATGTTGTCTCGAGTAGAGGCCTTGACTAAATGGACTAGAGTTACTGATTGGATATTTTGTTTGTATTACTCTATCTAAAAAATTATTAAACTTTGATGTTGCAACTGTACTTGGTTCCAACGATTTTGAATCATGACAATTCTAAGCAATATACAGTAATACATATTAAATATTTGATAAGAAAATGTACACAACTCTGCAATAATTACAATTAGTATTTCATCAGCACCGCATTCTGCAGCAACAGTAGATGGTGATTTCTTACCACGTTCTGGAGCCATATCCAACTTGGTACCACAGACTAAAATAGGTACCTAATAAACATAATTTTAATTATTAAGAATATTAAGTTGTATTTTAATTATTTGTTTTAAAGCATATTTATATTCATATCAATCAAAATAAATCATACTTGAATTTAAATTTTAGAGTATATAAGTGCAATTTTTTTTTTCAATCACAATCACTTATAATTATAAGTTTTTATAACTTCAGAGTAATCTTAAAGGAAAATTATCTATTATAACAATTTATATAGAAGATAATATTTATAGTAAATTCTACATATTATCAGTTTTTTATATTCAATTTAAAAATAAAATAAATTGTTTTGAATTTGAATGGACATTAAATCATTTTGATATCATATTTAGACAAATCAATAAGTCCTATTTTACTCTATAATTTTTCTAATGGGAGATTTTACAAAAGCAAAATATACTTGATTTTAAATAAATGCGTTTTGTTGATGTTGATTAATGTCGGCCAGAGAAGTTCATACCATACATTAATATCCTTTTAAAATGTTGACTTATACAGGTGCAGCAGAACAAAATGATGAGTTTTGAAGGGGTTCAAATAATAAACAGTAAATTTTAGAAAAAAATTATTATTTTTATTAAAATTAGTAATAAATTCCATTTTTGAAAATTATATCTCCAATATAATGTCTATCACCATCAATGCACTGTTATAGATGATCTCTGAAAAAAGAGATGACCTATGATGTATGGGTATGACCTCAACTTCCTTAGTGATTTCTATTAAAGATTTTCTAAGGTATGGGAGCGATGTCTGAAAACCTTATCCTTAAAGTAGCTCCAGAGGAAAAATCACATACGCTTGAATTTTACTTACTATTTTTCGATAAATGTTTCTTGGGCAATTGGTCATTCTAAAAGGAGATGTAGGCTGGCCAACATGGTCTCTAGATTTAAGCATATGTGATTTTTTTTCTGAGGTTACCTTTTTCAGCTATTGCTTCCATACTATAGAAGATCTTAAATAGAAAATCAAGGTCATACCAAAAAGAGTCGAAACTTACTGAAAATCATATGTGGACTTCAGAGATAGTGCATTGATGGTGACGGCTGCCATGTTGGAGATATAACTTTTAAAACTTTTAAAAATGGGATTAAATACTGATTTTAATAAAAATTACTATTTTTCTCTAAAATTTATTGTTTGTTATTTATAGCCCTTCAAAACTCTTCAGTCAACTCTGCCACACTCTGTATTGACTAATAATTTATGTATTCCAATTTAATGTAACTAATTTAAATTGTATTTAATTAAACATATGTATTACTCTATTTGAGCCAACCAGTTGTTCCATATCAAATCCATCTGTACATTTATATTTTGAGTTATTATCCTTATTCAATATTTCTGCTAGCCACTTATGTAAATTTTCACTGGATTTAAGATTAGTTAAGTCATATACTAAGATAATGCCTATTGAAAAAAAATAGAAATAATTAAATACATAATAATGTTTTAAAATTATCTTAATATCTTACCATGAATAGCATTATAAAATATATATCTAGTATTTTTATGGTTTGAACTTCCTCCGATATCCCACATTTCTATAAAACAATTGCGTTGTCTAGGTGTTCCTTCCATATATTTGTAGAGTTTTATTTCAACTGTTACTCCAACAGTCCATTTAGGATTTTTCACAACTTTATTTTTACACATCAGATTCACTAAACAAGTTTTTCCAACACCTGAATAATTTTTTAATATACATATAGAATACATAGTAACATATTATTATAAAATATGATTGTTTATTTAATATAACCAAAGTTAAATGAAATTTAGTCACATACTTGTAAATAAATATGTGTTAATTCAATTTTGAAGTGCACTAACATCTAATATGTGGTTTCAAGTTTTTTCATTAATGTTACAACACAGTTAAATATATTAATAATAATTTATTGCAAAATGTGTTTTTCAACAGAATACTTACAGTTTTGGAAACATCAACATTGATTATACTATTGATATATTATTATAGTCATTAAAAAATTACCCGAATCTCCAACAACCAACACTTTAACGCTGTCAGTTGAAGCCATTGAAATCTCCATTTCTAAAAGAAAATTTAAACGATGATTCAATTTTGTTTAAAAATTGGAATATTGAAAATGGTAATATTTTAAACACTACAACAATAGTGGTAGGTATAATTTACATTGCATTAATAATTATTAATTATTAACACAAATGTAATACGTATCTAATTACGAAATCATTCGTCATAACATTTAGTATTTACTAAATTAATTTCATATTTTACTAGTTTTCACTAACAGTGATAAAGATTGTGATAATAAGAATATAAAAAATCAATTTGATATTTTTTGTTTTTACCGTGATTTCTACAATAAACCTTTTGGTTTATGATAATAAAATTCTATAGATTATTATCAGGGAAACGGGTATTATGTCCAATAACCAATTGTTCCATTTTCTATACCGCTGTAATTAAAATTTTTTGTTCTAAGACTCATTGTTCCAAACTGCATTTGCACCAATGAATTTTTATTATGGAAATTTTTCAAAAAGATATTTTTCTGAAATTATTTAAAGCTCAAACAATCCTGAGAGTTTCTTGTTAAATAATTTTAAATTTTCAATTTCATATTAATTCTGTGTATTGGAATGAAAACGACAGTTCGTTTTAATCAAACTAGTATATTGTCCATTAATCAAAATTCGACTATAAAAACCATTTTAATTATAAAATTAACACATTCTAAAATATATTTGTGTTCTGTTTTTATAATTCGTATTACTTGTCTTTGTTCAGTTGTAATTTTTTTTTTAAATTAACATTACTTAGTAGATGGTTCTCATGAGACATTCAATATTTTTTTATTTTTTTATTCATACATTTTAGACTTCAACAGCGATGGTTATTAGCCTATAATTGGCTTTTACTATTTAAAAACGTGTATAAATTCTGAGGATTTGTTACTAAAAACCCGGATGGTCACCTATTTGAGAGCTAAAGACAGCGGCCGATGTTTGATCTCAGAAGACAGAATCCGTTAGTGACTGAGGCCAACCACCTTGCCATGAATTTGAATTTATCTAATATTTTATTACATAAATATGGAAAATTCCACTATTCCTCATTGCACAAGTGTCAAATATCTCGGTCTCACATTCGACAGAAAACTCATATGGGGTCCTCACCTCAAGGACAGACGAAAACAATTAAATAGTAGACTTCACTTACTTAGACCCTTACTAGGATCTAACATCAACATTCAAAACAAAATCCTTGTATACAAATGCCTCCTCCGACCCTTATGGACCTACGGCATCGTACTATGGGGCCCAACCAAAAAATCAAAAACTCAAATGATCCAAGCATTTCAATCAATTTGTCTGCGTAACATTGCGAAAACTCCATGGTACGTAAGGAACAAATTACTCCACGATGACCTCCAAATCAAAACCATTCATGATACAGCCATCAATATCTACAAAAGGTTCAACTGGAAACTCCTCATGAACCACAACCATCTCATCTTACAATTGGCCTCAAAGACACCTCCCGACAACCACACAAGACGTCTCAAACGCAGCTGGTGTAGAGATCTTCTTAACTTATAAAATATACTTATACTACTCATAATTTTTTTACCCCAAATCATTGTAAAAGGTGACTCGGCTGTGAGTATTCCTTCAAGTCATTCAAAGACAATTGTACTTTATTTTTATTTTTTACCACATCATATTTACTTATTGTATATAGTGTACAGATTGTAAATTCTCAATAAACGCTATTTAAATAATAATAAAAAAAAATATGGAAAAAAAATGTTCACACAAACAAAAAGCTTGAAAATATTTTAAAATATATAAATTGAAAAAAATTTAAATTAAATATAATCAGTTTGATGATATATTAGGAGAAAAGATGGAAATATTTTGAAAAAATTATAAAATAAAAAAATTATCAACATTTTTTTAATATTCTGAGTTATCTAAATTATATTATATTTTTAAAGTATAAAAATGATTAAAAATAAACTATATTATTATTAGATCGTTATAAATGAAAATATTTAGTAGGTTATTTGTTGTAAATTGAATTTTGTTAATACTTGTAGAAATAGAGATCAAAAATTCAAAAATAAAAAATGTGCAATACTTTTTAATTTCTTGACAAAATAATATTAAAGATAAACATGAATTTTTACGCTTAACCGCCTTTTAAAAATATTAAAATGAATAACGATTAACCAGTAAAAATTTGGATTCACCAAATGTTTATATTATACACAATTTTCTTTGTGTTGTAAATTTTTCAAAAAAAAAAGAAATTGCTTCTTTAGAGTTATAATTTTAAATAAAAAGTGTTTTTCTTTTTTTATAAATGTTAAAAAAAATTTCTCGGACATAAACTTTGATTTTAATCGTAAATTCATGATATTTATTTAAGAATATCTGAAGTTAAAATTTAGAATAAAAATGTTTTTTTTTTTTTGCTAAAATTTTTGCATGTTTAAGAGCAATAGTTATTAACCTAAAGTCGGTTTCCCATCCGAGAACTAGAGACCTGATACTTACTTCGGAACAAGCTAGGGACTAAGGCCAATTATTAAACCATACTAAGGTCTAAGGCACCTAGAACTCAATTCCTCATAGGTTTTTATATTTATATATTTATAGTACCTAAATACGATATACCATTTAAAGTATCAAATATGCAGTTACAAATGTTACAATATTATTCTGAAAATGTTTAAAGTTTAAATGTATACAAAATCTATTAGAATCACTAAATTTATTTATTTTAATCACAATTTGTTTAAAAAAAATATTTTTCCAGTAGATAGGTAATTCACTTGATGATCAATATGTTTGATTCAATGGTTATTATACCCCAATTTTTTGGGAAAAAATATTTGGTGGAACTACAGACTACAGCTAATTAAATATTATTCTGACTTTAAATAATTGTACATGATTTATACATTTCAGTGATACCAAACTAGACAGAATCGATAAACGGTTTATGGCAAACAGAAATTCATGTTTTTATAAATTTAAAAAAATGTGAAATTTTGATAATATTCCTATGATAGGTAGAGCATTTTTTAAACCACGTTGATATGTTCGGGTTATCGAGATAACAACGTTCGCCTCCATTTTTTGTTTATTTAGCCATTGGCTACACCGTACACAGTCCCACCCACTACGTATAGTCTCCCTCGTGGATGTTAAGCCGCCTCTTATAAAATAAACAAATCCAAATTCTTTTACACACCACCACCACCACACGCAACACTTGAACCACGATCTTCATTTGCGTGCCGGCCATTCAGTACTACTGAACCACCACGCGTTGTCTGCTGGAAATTTTTTTCAAATTCGAATAACTACAAAGTACTAGACACGAAATCAAAATGAGTACTGAAACCGTGAATGCGTTGGTATTCGACTACTTGAATTCATTGGATCAGAACCTTGCGAACATGTTCCAGACCAAGACTAAAGCCGTAAGTATATTACGATATTATGGAAACCACGTGCGTGACGGTGCTTATGCTTACAAATATCTTTGTGCTTCCCCAAGCATCTGGCTACCAATGATATTTTTATTTACCTCGTATTTACATATTCAGCAGCCGATTTAGCACACTGGTTTTTTTTTTTTTTTTTTATATTTATGTACTCGGGCTGTGTTGAATAAAAATATTTTCGTCGGGCAGTATTGTAATGTTTTTTTTCATTTTCATTTTTTTACACGTGGTTCATTGGGCTTATGATTTACTCTAATATTTTAGATCTTGAATATTTAATATCTGAAAATAGTTTATGTTTTGAATTAATATTGACCTTGAACTCTTAATTCACATAATTCCTTATTTTTGGTTTTTAAATCTATATTTTGTGCAGTATTGTCAATATATACATGATGTTACTTCTGGTTAGTGATGGGCATAATCGAATGATTAGTAATCTAGACATTTTTATAATCAAGATAATTTCGAGATATCACTCGAAATTAAAAACTATTATTTAATATTGCATTATTTATATGTGTTTTAATGACACCAGATTTTTATTTTATGTATTATAATTATTATTTACTATCTTAAATTTAAATTTATTAGTCTACTCGTCTTAAATATTCTAAATTCTGAGTTATATAAATGTGCAAATTGTGCCTTTTTGTATACTTTAAATAAAAAAATTATAAATATTTTACAAATGTCTGTAATGTTTTAGTTATAAGTACTTGGATATCGTCCAAATTAAAAAAAATAAATAATATTTAACTGATATAAAATATTAATATCAGCTTGTATTAATAATCAACAGGAAACTAATAAATAAAATCTAACTTGTAATGGTAAGTATAAGTATAATTAATATTTTATGAATGAAATATGAAATTTCAAAACAGATTTAAATTAGGTATTAATTAAAAAAATTATATAATTTAGAAATTACTTTAAATATACAGTTTAGGCTGAAATGAATAAAATTATAATATATATAATATTGGAAATTGTAATGTGTTATTTCTTTATTATGTTTGTGTATTCTATTTTAACTAATTTTGTTCGAAATGTCTTGATTATGCCCATCACTAATTGTGGTCATAACTATTCATTACTATGATTATTTTTTTTTTATATAAGGTTCTGTAAAACCTTATTTTAAAGAAAATATTATTTCTTTGTCATAGTGTTCTCTTTGATTTTTATTACCTAGTGCTATTTTTATTTTTTTTATTTAATTATCTAATTATATTTTAATTTTAAATTTCAGTCAAAACTGCAAAGAGGACAAACTAAATTAACCCAGCTGATCACTGACCATTTGAAGTATGTATAATGAATATTATGAAAAATGTATTGCAGTTATTTATTAATTATGTTAAATATTTTCAGAACTTCTAAAAAGACAATTAAGTTACAGAAAAAAGGACCTTGTAAGTTCATAATTTTTATTTAATCAATTAGTTAAATGCAATAATAATATTTTAAAATAAAGTTATCCTTCATATAAAAATAGTATCTAACTCTGTTTCATACATGTGACAAAGTTAGTAATACCTATTAATGTGATCAACTGTTCAATAGTTGTTTTAATGTGCCATTGCGTTGATTTAATTTGTGTTTTACTGCCACCATTAGCAGTGTTTGACTTATAATTTTTTTTTATGTCATATAAATGTTAACTTCTAAAATTATTAAAATATCCAATGAAACAGTTATTTACTTTGTTTCATAGTATTCTTTTTAAGACTAATTTATGTATATTTATAATAATTTGAAGTTGGTAGGACTTTTGAAAAATTTTGAATTACTGAATAGTTCAAAATATTGAAAGAGCAAAAAAGTCAATTTGTTTTTTTATTATTGTACATTTATAATTATTAAATTTTTCAGCATATAAGGTGGTATTACAGATATTTATTGTTTTTAAAATGTTTATTGAACTGTTTATAATTCTACTAGGTAAATTAAATTATTATTATTAACAGACAATTAAGAAATAAAATACTTATAATATTAATTTTAATAACTATAATTATTGAAAATCATAAGCTAAATTTCTGCACGATTGTACAGTAAATTATCTACAAAAAGATTATAAGAAATATATTTTGAATTACTGAATTTTGAACAGGTGAACCTTCAAATTTTTAACTGTTAATGGTCATTTTCAGTAGGTACAAGTCAGAATTTATTTTCCAGATTTAACTTTTTTTTTTAATTAAACCAATAAAAAAAAAAGGTATAAAACTGATAGTACTTCACCATTTTGTCATTTGTTGCTTGACATTGGCTTTTAAAAGAATAACTTGACCACTTAATTTTAAGTATGATTCTTTAGAATTTTTAAATGTTATGGCCTAATTTAATGTATTAAATAATCTACAACTATTATTCAATAATCTTTACATATAACTTGATATATTTATTTAATGATTTCAATTTTCTTAAATTTATTGTAAAATATTAAAAAACAATAGCAAGTTTTATCTGTAATTCATCAGCGTTATCTTATAATAATTATTTTAACAACATGCTATAAAAACTATTTTTACTATATTTATTTTTAGTAAATAAATTATATTAATTATGATGATTCTTAAGTTGACTCAATTTTTATTTTATTTATCTAGCTGTAGAGCAAATAATTAAATTAAGTAATGGTAAAGCAGCTGCAGTTCCTGATGAAGAATCTGAAGAGGATAGTTCTGATGATGAAGTAGCACCTAAAACAAAAATTAATGTTACAAATACAAAGAAGGTAGAACAGGAAGAAGAAAGTTCTGAAGAAGAAAGTTCAGATGATGATGATGAACCACCTGTAAAACGAGGTATCTATATATTTAATACAGATAATTAATTTTTTAAGTAATAAATGTAAATGCAATAATTTGAAGATGCTGATTAATCTTAGATAATAATAGATGTTTATAAATAATTAATTTATAGCTTGCATTGCTCCTGTTAAGAAGCCTGTTACCAAAAAAGAATCTAGTTCAGAAGAAGAAAGCTCAGAAGAAGAAGAAACTCCTGCTCCAAAAAAACCTATTACTAAACCAGTTGTAATGCCTCCTGTAAATAAGAAGACTACTGCTGAAGAATCATCTGAAGATAGCTCTGAAGAAGAAAGTTCCGAAGAAGAGAAACCTGTAGTCAAGAAAACCCCTCAAGTACCAGGAAAAAAGATAGTACCAGTTAAAAAGGCAGAATCTGAAGAAAGTTCAGAAGAGGAAAGTTCTGAAGAGGAAACTGCTGTGAAAGTTCCAGCTAAAGGTATTATTTTAACCTATTAACTAATTTTTTTTTTAATTGATTCCACGATCACAAATTTTCTATATTTTATTCATTTTTTATTAAAATGAATTTTTTTAGAGAAAATAATGTATTATAATAATCATAATGTATTAATTTTAAATTAAATCTTTAAAACATTTATTAAGTAAATAAAATTTTGGTCATTTTTCAGTTCCTGCTAAAAATGGAAAGAAAGAATCTAGTTCTGAAGAAGAAAGTTCTGATGATGAAGAAACCCCACCAGTAAAAAAAACTGTTGTTCAGCCAACTGCAAAAAAAACTGTTGTTCAGCCAACTGCAAAAAAAGTTGAAGAATCCAGTTCAGAAGAAGAAAGTTCTGAAGAAGAAACTGTAGTTAAAACTCCAGCTAAAGGTTTGTTTAAGAAATATATCATACCATAGAAGCTTTATATTTGTTCTTTCTTGGTAGCTCCTGTTTCTGCAAAGAAAGCTCAAGAAGAATCTAGTTCTGAAGAGGAAAGTTCAGAAGATGAAACTCCAGCTACTACCAAACCATTAAAAAAAAGTAATTATTCAATTTTGTTGTTATATATATCATGAACCTAATTAATTTATAACTTATATTTGTACTACAGCTGTAACTAAACCAGTTGTTGGTAAAGAAGAAAGTAGTGAAGAAGAATCTGATGAAGATGATGAGGAGGAAGATGTTAAAAAGACTCCGACTAGTCAGGTAAAATCCTAAGTTTTTATAAAGGCTCACAATTCGTTTTTACTAAAATACACTGAAAGGGAAATGAATGTTTTTTAAAATTAGCCTATCAGAATTTTGATAATTATCTAAAATCGTAATTTTTACTGTTTCAATGAACATGGTATTTATTCTAATAAAAACTATAAACAATTGTAACTTTAATAACTTTAATTTAATCTAGATCAAAAGTCAACCATTCGTCAAAGCAACAAATGGAGATGTAAGTAAATTTTAATTTACCTTTATATTAACTATTTTGGAAGAATTTGTTTTGTCTTTAGTTGGGGTTGGTGTATTCTTGCATATATCTTACAATTTAATATTAATTTAAATGTATTTTGATATAAAATAAAACGTAATTAAATAATTATTCTAGAATAAAATATTAATGGGAAACATGGAACAAAATGATATTGGTAACAACTCTTTTGATTCTGATAAAAAGAAAAAACAGCAAAATAGGCGATCAGATCCTTATAGACGTGTCCGTGATGACAATGTCAGTGTTGATGGACGTCTTTTAGATAATTCGCTAAAAGCAAAGGTAAGGTTAGCCTTGATTTTTGTGGCTAACCAAACTGGCGCATGAAAATAAATTTATAACAATACTGCTTAGAATGAAACGGTCTTTTTAATTTAAATTCTTCCAAAATAGTAAAATTTGCTGTTTTTTGTAATTATTATTTTTCATGCTCAGTTTGGATTAGTTCACTAATTAATATTAATCTCATAGGATGAAAATGGAACCAGCAACAAATGGGGTGAAGACCGACAGGGAGGTTTCAGAGGTGGTAGAGGTAATAGAGGAACAAGAGGAGGATTTGGATTTAGAGGTGGTCGTGGAGGTCGTGGGGGTTTCAATCGTGATGACGATGATCAAAATGGAGGGGGAAGAAACAGTTTTGGTCGTGGTGGAGGTGGCCGTGGAGGTGGTTTCAAGCGTAAATTTGATGATTCTGGTGATGGTGAAAATGAAGGAGGTGGTTTCAGAAAGAGTTTTGGAAGTGGCGATGAAAATGGTGGGGAACGCCGTAGTTTTGGAGACAAAAGAGGATTTGGAGGTAATAGATTTGGTGGTGAACGAGGCGGATTTGGAGGTCGTGGTGGTGGTGATAGAGGTCGAGGAGGATTTGGTGGACGTGGTGGTGGTGGAAGAGGTTTTGGTGGACGTGGCGGTGGTGACCGTGGCAGAGGTGGTCGTGGAGGTAATGATCGTAGCAGTGGTGGTTTTGGTAAAGATAGATATTTCAATAAAAGTTTTGACTCAAATAGTTCAACGCCTCAAAATAAAAAAATTAAATTTGATGATTAGTAAGTATTTATAAGTTTTTATTATACTTGAGTGTATAATTTGTATCTTTAATTTGAATTGTATACTTGTTAATTAATCTTATTTGGTTAAGTTGTTACATGTTACTCTAATTGTAATTTCAGAAAGGTCAATATGAAAATTGGGGTAAGAAAGCTGCTCTAGACTTACAATACACAAAAGGAAAATCATTTAGACATGAAAAAACAAAGAAAAAACGTGGTTCTTATCGAGGTGGACAAATTGATGTAGGTGTTAATTCCATTAAATTTGACGATTAGTAATACAATCGTTTTTAACTTTTTATTTTTTCAACATTATTATTGTTTTTGAAACAATTCCTATCATTATTACAATTTCATTTATTTTAATTAAATATAAACAAAAGTTTATAATTGTATTTCTTAATTTCTTTTATTAATAAATAAACTAGCTTTGTGTATTTTAAGTTTTAAAGTAAGATTTGTATATAAGTAATGTTTAAGTGACTGTAATTAAAAGTTATGTATTCATTTTTGAATTAAGATATAATTTTAATTATTATTTACCTCATTTAATAAATTTAATGTATGTTAAATTATATATTTTTTTGAGAAAATATAAATGGTACCATAAATTATCTGTTATTTTTCTTACAAATAATTAAAGTCTACCATGTTGGAAACTATACTTAATACCTTCACCAAACGGGTCTAACCATATTTTTAACAACTAAGATAAATTTACATAAAGCTTTGATGTTGGTTTAAATTTACATTTTTTTAAATTTAATAATTATTTTGTTAAGTTGCTTTTTTTACTTTAATTTTCAAATAAACACAATTTTTATATTACACATGTGCCTTAAAATTAAATTTAAACTTTTTAAATTAATATATGTATCTTTCTAGAGTACTAAATAATTGAAATTAATGTAGTCATTAAAGTATTATTAGATAATAATAGTCATTGATGTTTGTTACTATTAATTTGTATAGTAAAACAAAGTAACCAATTTAATTAATCTAAAAATAATTAATATTTAAATACTATTATTACAAATTTTAATTTGGATAAATTCAAATATTTAACTTTTAAACCATGAACCATACTATCAATAAGCAATCAAACTAGTAGTAACTAATTGTATAAATTAACTCTTGTCAGTTAAGAAAATATCTGCATTAACTTAATTTCACAAAATCCCATTATATTACTAAAAATTTACTTATAAATTACATAAATTCTACTATTCAAAATAATTTTTTCGTGAGAATCCTGTTATACCAAGATATTTGCAAAAACCGCCGATATATCAAATTTTGTTAAAAATATACATAATATGATATAATAAGTTAACAAATAACTAACTATTCAAACTATTGATTGACCAGTTAATTATGAGTTATGTAGGTATGAAATCGTGAGTATTGTTCAAATAATTTATAAACCGAAACAACATCCTTCGCCATCGATCAACGCTTCGGCTGGGGCTGTGCAAATAAAAACAAATTGTATGCATTATGTATTGTATTGTATACAGTCGTGTATTTTTAAGATAATGATTATAAGTCGTAAACTGTCAATAGATGATATTGCGACGTATCGTCCTACAGTCGTTGATTATGAATTAGTACTTATAATTTATTTTTAAATGCATGATTTCAAAAACTTGACGGTAGATTCAATGGAAATTTTAAATTGATACTTAGCTGTGTGCGAGAAAGATCAGAATCGACATGAGAACCGCCTAAAATGTAATCATCAATCAGTAGTAGGTCAGAGGTGATTTTTAATTGATGGAGATGGCCTAAAGATGGATCTAAATCTATCTGTTAACAGTTAAAATTGAACATCTCTAATATAGTAATATATTCATTAAATTGCAATCCGGGTAACACCAACTAATAATCAATGAAAGTATACATCTATATATGTCAGCTAAATCGAGATGGTAGCTATTACATTTAGTGTTGGCGTTATTATTATGCACTTAACAGGTTGCAACTTGCAACTAGAAAATTCCATTACAATTTAGTGTCCTGCAATCACAATTTTTTTCTTTTCCTGACTCTGATGGCACTATCTATGTGAAGTAATTTGAACTTTTTTCAAACAAAGTTCAAAAATACACAATGTATTGTGTGCATGAAACTAAATCCTACCATAATTTTTGAAATTGAAAGTCGTATATGTTTTGTCATTGAGATACAATAGTACAGTACCTAACCAGTATATCTAAAATTATGGTGAATGTCATCTCACATTGGTAAATAATAAATATTATTTTTATAGTTATCGATATCATGATTAAATGTTCCCGCTCTTCCACTGACCACAAGGGTTCTCAAAATTGTGTGTAATCTATAATCAATATAGATTGCAGGTTATGGGTAATTTTATGTTTTTTGTTTACCCATAAATTTTTGATAAAATTCTTAATCGACGACACAATACATAATACTTTTCATGTATAGGTATAGTAAAAATTAAAAATTGGATGAAATTATATTTTTTTTCATTTTCATTTGCCCCATTATCCATAAAAACTGTTTACTGTTTTATCCAAAGGTAATGCATTGCTGCACACTGAACAATTTATGACATTTATGCGGAATACTATTCAGATTCAAATGAGCCATCGGGTATGGCCAGAGTCACCAGAAAATGGGAAATGTTCCCTGGTCGAAACCGATTCTGCTGTGACGGTAGGCTCATGATGGCCCCGCATGCGGCAGTGTTCTATATCAATGTGGTCCTCATCATTGGTACGAGCGTCCTTTTCTTTGTATTCGAGTGAGTCAACTCTACATTATATTCTGTTTCCTAGAAGTATTATGATGTGACAAATTATTTATCTTTTTTTTTTGTCATAGCTGTCCATACCTTAGCCGTCGCGTGACTCCTGTCATTCCAATTATTTCAGGAGTTTTATTTCTCTTTGTCATTGGCTCGTTGTTCAAAACTAGTTTCACAGATCCAGGTATTATTCCTAGGGCAACTGATGACGAAGCTGCTTACATTGAGAAACAAGTTTGTAAGTTAATTATAATTTGTTTTCCAACTTATTATTTTTTTTTAAATTTATTAGATTGATTAACTTTTGTTCAAGTGCTAAAAGTGATGTTTCTAATGTTTTAAAACAATTTCTCTTTTTCATAACAACTAATTTAGTTTTACTTTTAAAACTACTTCCATAGCTTAATAATATGATTAAGTATAGTAAAATATTGAATGAAAATACAAATAAAGAACAGTTTTTTATATAAAGAATTTTAATTGAATTTTTTACTGTACTTTGATAAAAAATAAGTGTAAAATATAATTTTCATTAAATAATGATTGTCTTATTGTAATTTTTTCATATAATAACAAACATTTCTTATTTTTTAAAACAATTTTACAATTTTTCAGTCATATATCTCTTAAACTATTCATGTAAAATTAGTTTATTTATTGAATATAATATAATCTACTTAATAAATTAAAATTTAGACATTAGTATACCAAACAATGGAGGAACACCCACTATACGACCACCCCCAAGAACTAAAGAGGTGGTCATCAAAGGCAATTCAATCAAGTTAAAATATTGTGTAACATGCAAGATTTTTAGACCACCAAGAGCTTCCCATTGTAGTTTATGTAACAATTGTGTTGGTAAGTTTTATAAAGATTTTCAAAATTTAATTATGTAACACAATATTGATTGTTTGTTAGGTATTTTTGAGTCTTTTGTTTAAGAACATAAATTTGCATCGCAGAATAATCAAACATTTCTTGTTAAAGTCATATTTTGATATTTTTTGTTATTTAAAAATAAAAACTTTATACAGGTTACATTAGGCTCTGATTTAAAAAACTATTTTCAGAAGTTTTAATAAATGTTTAATTAATAGCAAACTGTTGCGTATTTTTAAATATATTTTCCTGGTATTATTTAAAGTTGAGTCCCATGTGACCTAAATAAAGATTTCTGAATAAAAATAAAATCAAAATCAAAATTCAACTAATCTACTGAGATTGATTATCATTTAACTATTAAAATGGTTTATTTTTTATTAATCTAACATATCTAGAAATGTTTGTCCTTTAAAATAAAGTGGACTTCAATACTATTAAATAATTTTTTTGAAACACTGATATATTTATAAATATCAATAAAATTCTTTAACTTAAATTTTATGATATATTGTTAAAATTTAGAAAATTTTGATCATCACTGTCCATGGGTAGGAAATTGTGTTGGTCGTCGGAACTACAGGTTTTTCTATATGTTTATTGTTTGTTTATCTTTACTTATCATCATCGTGTTCATTGGAGCAGTACTACATTTATTTTATTGTAAGTGGTTTTTCAATTCTGATCTAATTTATTTTTGTAAATTTATAATTATTGCATGCTTTATTTTTTTAATATTTAGTGTCTGAAAATAGATTAATGGTAGATGCCATTTCTGAATCACCTACTAGTGTAATAGTAGTAATTATTACATTCTTCAGTTGTTGGAGCGTTATTGGATTGGCTGGATTTCATACATTTCTTGCTGCATCCAACCAAACAACTAATGAAGATGTTAGTATATTTTGTATTGTATAATGCATTAATGTTTCTATTAAAATAAATATAAATACTAATCATTTGCAGGAATGGAAAATAATCTCTTTTATTTTTTTAGATTAAATATACAGAATAATTCTTTATGTGTGATAATTTTTTATTCCAGTTTGATTAATATTTATTTAAATAAAGCATTTTAAATGCTTATTTATCATTAATTCTTGATTAATTCAATATTTTTTAATTAAAGTTTTATCTTTCGGGAAATAAAACTTTAAATAAAGATTATCGTTATATAAGTTGATTTTAAAAATAAATTAAATTTTATATGAATATTGAAAGTGTATTTAATTAATTTTTCTCAGAGTAAATTTTCTTTAAAATTAAATGGGTTAAAATTTTTTACTATTTTAGTTTATAGTTATCATTGTTTATTACTTCCATCCCTGTAAATTAAATTATTTTCTGTTAAATAAACTGATGATATATTGTAATTAGATTAAAGGATCTTTTGCCAGTCGAACAGGACGGCCAAATTCCAATCCATATAGTCGAGGTAACATCTGTGCCAATTATTGTTATGTATTGTGTTCTCCTCGTCCTCCAAGTCTTTTAGGTATTCATAAATATCTATCTATTTTTCTAAATCATTTTAATGCATTTTATATATTTTAGATAGACGTGGTGTGGTTTTATCATTAACAGATTCTAAATCATTGAACAAAAGTCAGAGTAGAGATACAGTGATATCTAATAAAGGGTTTGATGTTTCTGATGCACCTGTTAACCAAGTAATGTGTATTAATTGTTTCAATTTTTTATGTACTTAATTTAATTATACTTTTAGAACGGAAAAACAAATACTGATGAAATACAATTGCATCAATATGGTTCATCTAGTATGTTACAACCAGATAGCTTAGACCACAATCAACACACATTTGCAACTTCGATGCCAAGTATCAATCATTCACAAAATAATCATGTTCATCAAAGTCATATTATAAATGGTTTGTATCAAAAGCCACCAACTTCCCATTCTTCAATTCTTATAGCATCACATCATCATTACCCAACTGACTATTATTTAGTTCCCACAAATCCAAATTATTTTTATGCTAGTTTACCTTTACGTAGGGACCGTGCAGCAATGTATTATTCAGCAGTTTCTCGTGTTCCTAGTTATCGATGTAGGAATAATCAAAAACTATATTATAGTCATTCTCATGAGCATGGTGGAGGTACCACATCAACTAGGATGCACTTATCAAATATAAATAACACTAGTTAAATTAATTAATCTTCATATTTTTGGAAACTGTAATGAAAGTAATTTAATTGTTAATAAATGTTTTGTTTCTTTTTAAATGCCTTTCACTACCATGTAAGTTGATTAGGATTAATGTTTTTTTGGTAAGTGAACTTAAGAATGAGGTTAAATATAATTAATTATATTAGTCAATTCAGTTTTATTTAATATTGTTTGTATCACTATATAGGTGTGAAATTCAACAAAAGTGTAACTTCATTGGCTAACACATTTAATGATACTGGCATTTACGAGACTATTGAACCAAGTCGATTAGATCCAGATCTAGATTTAGATGATGGGTCAAAAACTATATCGGGTGCTCCTCCACTGAGTGCTAGTCGGCTACAACTACTTCAAGACACGACAATGATAGAATCAGCCTTAGACCTAGATTCATTAGAAGATGCATCATCAGTTGGTACTGGTAGCCAAGTAAAATTGGTTAAAAACAAAAACACTTTATGACTAAATTAGATCGAAGAAAATTAATTATGTACCTGTTAATTTTTGTAGTCATACATAAATAAGAAATTCCTTATGGCGTTGAGGCACTTATTAAGAAAATTTATATATTCTTTTATCGTGACTTAAAAATAAAATTAGTGGCAATATTGTTATTTACTACCAATTGACTGCCCAATCAAATTGTTTTAGGATTAACAATTTTAATATTATTAAATAAGTGCCTTTTGCTTTGTTTTTTATTCTAATTAGGTCCTAAAACGATATCCTAACATTTTTTAAGTATTTATTTTCATTACTAAACACCATGTCATATTTTGCACTTTTTTAATTTGGTCCTTTAAGTTATTAATTTAAATACATATATTTTTTTTGTATTAATAAAATAACTCAATTTAATTATAGTATTGTTATACGGCACCACAATATTGTGGCTAAGTTTTGACTTAAATATGTTAATGAAAAATATGTTTTATTTGTAATAGTCAGGGTTTATAAATAGGTAATTATTATTGTTAATTTTTTTCTGTTTTTAATAAAAAAAACTAACAATTTTTTTTTGGGTGTTACCATCTTCTATAAGACTTTTAAACATTCTAATAGGTAAATTAACTATTTATTTATTTTTATTAATAATTAGCATGTATACATATATATATATATATATATATATATATAAATATTTTAATATTGTTCATGAATTTGCAGTTGTGCTTTTACTTCAATTAACGCATTAGTGCCTCTTTCTTGGAAATAATTTTTTCTTTTTATAATTAATGTTATTGATAAAAGTTGATTAATTAGATAAAAGAAATTTAATATATATTTTTATATTCTCACTGTTCAATGTTTTAATTGTTATTTGTTTTTAAAGGTAAAAATAGGGTTTATTATATAATTTTAAATTTTCTTAACATGACATCAGAATAATTTTGATTATTTTCTAGTAAAAATAAAAGACAATTATTAGATGTCTATTTTGTTTTCTTTGTCAAGACTTTTACAATGTTTTTATTATACAGTTATAAGACATTTATAATGATTGATACATAATATATCTATTTAATATTTAATGCAGTAATATACAATTATTTTTTTACTAGTAATACATTTTTATTATTTTTATACATTGCATTTAAGATACTTACAGTGGATTATGAAAGTGGGCTATAGTTAATTATTATAATCATTTGGTGATATAAAAGTATAATACACTTAAGTTTAAAAGAAAATTTTATTTCACTGACTATTTAAATTACAAAAAAGGACTAAATCATGTCATGTGTATTATTATACCCTGTTACTAAAAAATATAATAACAATAGTAATATATTAATTATAATAATTGTGAATACAATTCATCAATTTGTCTTATTTCGTCAAGTATTATTTATTAAGATAAATAATATTAATCGCAATACAACTTTGAATTAGCTAGTAAATATAATTTATGAAGCAATCTAGTTTCTTATAAAAATGCTTTTTTACAACTTAAAAAGAAAATTACAGCTATCCAAAATTTGACAAAGTATTAATGTACATTTACTATTTAATGTCATCTTAATTTTAAACAAAACTATTTTAAAATTGTATGTACAGTTTATTTTCTACTTTAAATATTAATTTTTATTATTATTATCAAGTACTTTAAAATGTTAAAGTTTTTCGTTTCACTACTGTCTCGGTCTTTCATTGTTTATACTTTTATAAAATAAATGTGCGCTCAGAAACCATTTGAAAAGTTTTTAAAAAAACAATTTTACATATTTTATTGCATTTTATTTTATTTTGAACGATGTAATTTAAAAATACAACAAAATGCAATTATCCAGAATAAATAAAAAAATGTACAGAATAAACATAGTCTTCAATAACTGGATCCTGGAATGCACAATAGTCTGTTTTCACTTGCACAATTTAGACACAAAGTTTCTTTGATTACAACTCAGAATGTGTATCATCTTTTTTCTCCTCTGCAATAAAAATAATATGAAAATTACTAAGCAAATATTGATAGATTTGAAATGTGTTAGAACAAGCTAAGCCTTAATATTTTTTAGAAATACTGAATAACTTATGTGAGAATCTACAATAATAATAAAAATTATTTATAAACAATATTCATACAACCAAACTCGTATAATATTTTAAATGAATAATTATTTTTGATTATGAGTTAAGCAATTTAAAATAAGTTTTCAATGATGTATATTTGGTCTATCATCACTTTAAGATTAGTTAAGATTATAAAAAAATTTTTGAATTGAAAAATATATATAATAATAATTTGTGTATATTATTTTTAAAATTTTGATATTGATTTAATGTTACATAAAAAAAAAAAGCAGAGAGCAAGTGAAAGAATCCAAGCTAGGAAATGCCTTCAACAGAAATAAGTATCCCGTAATTTTTTTTTTTTAAGAATAGTTTGCTAGAAAATAATTTTATAGTTTTAAAAGTGTACACTCTACATTACAGTTAATAATTAATCATTATTTTTATACGTTTTCTTCATATTTATTTACAAATTATTCACCACAGTCTACAGTTGAAAATGTATAACTATGTTTTAAGAGCCAACATAATAGAACTATAGGAATTTTTTGATATTCTGATGAGAATAATCTTTCAATGATTAAATGATTAATAGTGTTTTTCATTAGGTAAAGCAAAATTATAGAAAATAACCCAACAAATCACAAAACATACATGCTTAAAAACAACTTTTTCAATATCTAAAATAAGCGAAATGCAATTTGTATAGTACAAATAACCAATGCTGATGAAATCCACGCTGAAATATCTTCTTTTAAATCATGTGGCGATTTGGACATTTTTTCTGTAAAAATATACATTGCAGGGCTGAGCAAGCATTGTGCAATAAGCAACTATGATAAATAAACTAAAAACTGCCGTGCTCCATCACCGTTGATAAACATCTTGAAATTCTCACCAGTTTTGGTAGGTTCAACTATTGGTTTGGTTTTATCTATTTTTGATGAGCTTTCAGATTCAACATTATCTTCTGCAGTACTACTTGGTTCATCAACAGAAGGTTTTTCTGTTTCATAATTTTGTGCATTATCCTTAAATGTGGTATCATTATCTTGTTCTTCTGGTATTTTATCTTTTTCATTGTCAGTTTGTGATGTTGGTGCTTCACGAACAACAATTATTGATTTAAATTATATTAGTGGGATAAGTAAACACAACAAAAAAAACTCAATCTAATTCAATAAAAGCTGTTAAGTAAAAAAAAAAATACATTGGCTGAGAGGTTCAACCTTTACCTTTAACTTTGGGATCCTCTTTCTTTTTTGGTTTCCAGGAAGTAAATTTAGACATCAAATATCTCATCTAAAAAAAATGATGTATAAATTATTAATCCAAAAATTTATGTTTGTAATAATATGCAATTATTATTATATACTTCGCGTTCTATTGATGAATGTTTTATTGCAATAGTTTGAACTGTCAACACTGGATCAACAGATTTTGGAAGTTTTTCCTGTTCTTCTACTTGCTTATTTCTCCAAATCTGCAAGTAAAATAAAAATATATATTTTTATTATATTAATTTGAAGTTATTTTTATTATTGCAATGTATATATTAATGTTCTTACAGTAATTTCAGAAATCAATTTTTCAAGGGTATCTATTTCTACTTGTGTAAAAGGAGTATCCTCCAATGTGGTATTTTTTATTTTTTCCAAAAATGAATTACTACTGTTCAATGCACTGTTTAGTGCATCCAATCTTGATGGTCTTTCTGCATGCTCAAAAGTTCTTTCCCAAACAGGTAATACTATTTTTTTTAAATCATCAAATTTAGAATCTAAAACTTCAGCTTCAGCACCAAAACCATCATCTTCCAACCAATTTGATATCTTAACAATACATTTTAAATTTGATTTATATTAAAACAAACAAATAAGTTTTACATATATAACACAATTTAATTATTTAAAATTTAATAAAAATTACCTCAGAACATTTATCCAAAATTGAACGAGTTTCAATATCAGTAGCAGAACTAGCATAATCAGGTTGTTCTAATTTTTCACGTGTTTCAATAATAGCCGTTTCTAAATTATTTAAAGAGGTTTCTTTACGTGATTTTGCCAAATCTATTTCTTTAAGTTGTCTTATTCTAAAAAACAATAAGAATAGCTCAAATAAAGTAACTTTAATTCATGTATCTTTAAATACCATACTTATTAATTGAACTTTGTAAGTCATCATCTTGAGCAGGAAGTACAAATAAGTGTTCATGATTAACATCAATAGGTTCTTTCACTGTTACAACTTTTAAATTCTTCTTGGAATCAGAAACTGGAACTGTATCATTTAATTTCAGTTGTTCAGTACTGTTTGTTTGATCATAAGTATCAGTATTATTTGATGTATTATTAGACGCTTGGGGAATAGGACTTTCTTCTGGAGCTTCATGAACTGGTTTTTCTTCTTTTAATACTTCTTCAGGGCCTTTTAAATAAAAAAAAATATTATTTTAATGCTTGTATTCTATTTTATTGTAACTACTTAATAGTTAATACCTTTAAATAAATTGCTAATGGTACTTCCAATCTTTGATAAAGTAGATTCTTCTTCTGTATCAGCAGTAACAGTTTTTTCAATTAATAACTCTACGTTTTGTAATATTAATAATCCACTATCATCCATTGCAAAATGTGCTTTAATTCCTTTGGTATCTATACCTTCTTGATCTTGATATTTGGAATAGGCATCTCGTACACCATTTAATCTAATATTACTTAATTGCAAAGAACCTAAACATTTAACCTCATTTTCATGTAAATGATTAAGTTCTGCATAACCCACAGTAAAATCAAAATCTTGTTGATGTTTATTAAATGTTATTATTTTACGTTGAGGATATGGATTCATATGACCAAACAGAATGCGTTTAACTTGTTTTGCTGGTTTATTCTCATCTATTACCTCTTTATCAAATGTAACCTAAAAATAATTTAAAATCAATTATATGCTTGGTTACATTAAGACAATAAAAATTGTAAATAATTTAACTAACTTGTACAGGGAATAATGTAGCATCCTTAGTAATAAATGTTTTTACTTTGAATCCATTACTAAGATCTGCTGCTTTATATGCAGCCCCTAAAGCAGCAGCTTCATCAGTATTCAAAGATCTACCAAGAGGTTGGTTACTTTTTAAATCTTTAATTAAATGATCTTGAACTTTAGGAACTCTAGTACCAGCACCAGATAACATAACCTAAAATATTATTGAATTATTTAATAGAATAAGTATTTCATTGAA